CGGTATGACTTTCATTTGTTGAGGCTTGTTTTGTGGCCTAATATCTGGAGTTCTGTTTTGGAGAAAGTTCCATGTGCGCTTGAGAAGGATGTGTATTCTGCTATTTTTGGATGGAATGTTGTCAATATATCTGCTAAATCTTTCTGGTCCAATGTGTCATTCTAAGCCATTGTCCTTGTTGATTTTCCGTTTAGATGATCTGTACATTGATGTCAGTGGGGTGTTAAAGTCCCCTACTGTTGTATTATTGTTGATTCATTCCTTTATGTTTGTTATTAAAGGTTTTATGTATTGGAGTGCTCCCATATTGGATGTGTAAATATTTACAATTATAGTCTATTGGATTGTTCCCTTAATTATTACGTAGTGTCTTTCTTGGTCTCTTGTTAACAGTCTTTGATTTAAAGCCAATATAAGAATTGCTACTCTGGCCTTCTTTTGACATCCATTTACATGATAAATGTTTCTCCATCCCCTCACTTTCAATCTGCAGGTGTGTTTAGGTCTAAAATGTGTCTCTTGTACACAGCATATAGATGGGTCTTGGGGTTTTTTGTCCATTCTGTTCCCCTCTGTCTGTTTATTGGAGTCTTTAGTCCATTTACATTCAAAGTTATTATTGATATGCATTTATTGCCGTTTTATTACTTGTTCTGTGGTTGTTTCCGAAGATTTTCTGATTTGTTCTTTTCTTCTCTTTCATGGTTTGCTGATTTTCTTTAATGATATGTTTGGATTTCTTCTCTTTATTCTTTGCATATTTATTAGTGGTTTTTGATTTGTGGTTACCATTAGGTTTGTATATAACATCTTCTGCATAGAGCAGCCTGTATACAAGTTGATGGTTGTTTAAGTTTGAACCCATTCTTTACTCTTCGTCTCCCCATGTTTTATGTATGTAGTGTCATATTTTATATCCTTTCATTTTGTGAATTCCTTTACTGATTTTTTTTTTTTACAGGAATATTCATTTTTACTATTTTTGTGTTTCCTGCCTTCATGCTGTCATTTTGGTCTTCCTTTATTTACACTCAAAGAGACCACTTTAATATTTTCTGCAGGGCTGGTTTAGTGGTCATGAACTCCTTTAATTTTTGTTTGTCTGACAAACTCACTCTTTCCTTCTATTCTGATAGCCTTGCAGGAAAGAGTATTCTTGGCTGCAGATATTTCCCGTTCAGCAGTTTGCATATAACATGACACTCCTTTCTGGATTGGAAAGTTTCTGCTGAAAAATTCTCTGATAGCCTTATGGTATTTCCTTTGTATATAACTGTCTATTTTTTTTTTTTTTTTTTTTTTTTTTTTTAATTTTTTTTTTTCAACGTTTATTCATTTTTGGGACAGAGAGAGACAGAGCGTGAACGGGGGAGGGGCAGAGAGAGAGGGAGGCACAGAATCGGAAACAGGCTCCAGGCTCTGAGCCATCAGCCCAGAGCGTGACGCGGGGCTCGAACTCACGGACCGCGAGATCGTGACCTGGCTGAAGTCATACGCTTAACCGACTGCGCCACCCAGGCGCCCCTATAACTGTCTATTTTTATCTTGTCACTTTTAATATTTTTTCCTTTACCACTGTATTTTCCCATTTTAATTACATATGTCTTGGTGTGGATCTACTTTTGTTGCTTTTGTTGGGGTTTCTTTGTGCCTCCTAGATCTGGATATCTGTTTCCTTCCCCAAATTAAGGAAGTTTTCAGCTATTATTTCTCCAAATAAATTCTTTACTCCCTTTTCTCTGTGCTCCTGGGACTCCTGTAATATGAATGTTATTACATTTGATGGAGACATTGAAATTCTCTACATCTGTTCTCATTTTCCATAATTCTTTTTTCTTTCTTTTGTTCAGCTTGATTATTTTACATTACTCTGTCTTCGGGGTCATTAATTAGTTCCTCTTCTTCCAGCCTGCAGTTTATTCCATCAAGGATGTTTCTCATTTCATTTATTGAGTCCTTTTTCTGTGCTGTGTTACTTCTTATCTCTGTGTTAATGGTCTCATTGATGTGCTCCACTCTTTTCTCAAGTCCAGTAAGTATACTTGTAATCATTGCTTTAAATTTTCTTTTATCTGTTTCACTTAGGTTTTTTGCCACGTCCTTGTCCTGTTATCTCATTTGGGAGAAATTCTTCTGTCTTCCCATTTTGTATAAGTCTCAGTGTCTGTTTCTATGTGTGAGGGAAGTCAGCTACTTCTCCTATTTTTGAGGGCAATGGCTTTATGAAGAAGAGGTCCTGTGGTGCCCTGCAGTATAGTGTCCCTTCTTCCCCAGGACCTGGCACTTCCAGCAATGCTAAGTGTACTCTGCTGTTGTGTGGTCCTGATAGTTTTATGCTTCAGGGCAGTCATCTACAGATGCCTATTGTGGGCAGTGTTTGGTCCCTGCCCTGAATGTAGTGCATTTTAACTAAATGTGTTCTGGTCTGCTTTGTGAAATAACCTGTCACCACCATCACCTAAACTGCAGCTTTGCAAAACTTACCAGATAGGAGCCATAGTATTGGCACGGGTTTGGGCCAGTCTTGTAGGAAAGGGGGCCTGCCATGCTGCCACCTAGGCAAGAGTGACTAGGAAGGTTGTTTTCCCCAGATCCTGAGGGGGTGGGTGGGGCTTGGTGTAAGCAAGTTAGGTAATGAGTGTGGGCCCAAGACTGTTTTTTGCCGGTAGCTCTGTATTCTGACAGGCAGGTGAGGTAATTGGTACCTGCCAGTTCCTTTTTACCTGGAGGTCTCTCTCTCTCTGAATGCCCTCACTCTGGAACATTCTCAAAGAGGAGTAGCTAACCTCCCTACAGTGTGCCCCAGGCACTATCCACATTGGTTTTTGCAAGCTGTGTCCATCCATAGGCTGTTTGCCCAGCCTTCTCTCCAAGAGCAGTCCCAGTGTCCCAGTCCCAGCTTTCCCTGAGCCAAGCATGCTGACCTTTAGAACTCCAGGCTTTAAGCCCCACTGGTTGCAAGAACTCAAGAAATTCAGGCCCTCTCACTTTCCAAGCCAATTGCTGTGGGGATTCATTTCCTGTATACTTCCCTATGTGTTAGCCTGTCTCTTGCCCTTCTCCAGATGGTAACTTCCTCTCTACCCCATTGGCTACGATACATTTTTCTCCAAAGTTGAGTCTCCATACTTCCTACCTCCTTTGATGTGGCCTCTTCTCTACCTTTATTTGTGGAGGGTTTTTTTGTTTTTTTTGTGGTTTTTTTTGCTAGTTTTCAGATTGATTTCTGGGGTATTTAGGATGATTTGATTGTTAGAGATAGGAAGTTTGTATTACCTGGGGACGAACTCTTACGATAGACTCATACTTAATCTAAAGGCCAAGAAGTGCCACCTCATTTTCTAATGGTTTTCTATAAAGAATGTCACTTCTTACTAGGCTTTATTTCATAGTATGTCACTTAATATTTTGAGATTATCCCTTTTTTAGAGGACTTAGTTTAACTATGATCTGACATAGAGTTCCATTTGGTTTTAAAACAATACAGATATACCAGAATGGCTAGTATGTTTGATACCATATTGTGAAACCTAATAATTTAAAATGATATTTACTTCTTCCTATTTCACAAAGATGTTGTAGTGACAAATAGAATATTGGAAATACAAATAGTATTTTGTTTTTCAAAATGGCTTACCAGTTGTTCCATTGGGTTTTTTTGTTTTTTGAATAATCCTTTTGTCCTCACTAAATTTTGATACCAACTTTAGTAATTTAATTTTGTATACACAGCCTATTTTGGGCGACCATTTATTTTGTAATAGTCCTTTCTATTTTAATATTAGAAGGAGTAGTCCTTCATCATTGCTCTTCCTTTTAAAAGCTTTTTTGCTTTTCTTAGTTGTGTTCATTTTTAAATTAAAAAAATGAATGCAATATTAATTTGAAGAGATGTATATTATATTGCAGTGTAATTGTGATATCACAAGTCAAAAAAATAGAGAATAGAAAGTATGTGGCATAGGAACCTGTAGTTACACAAATCCAAAACTTTATAATTAAAACAGTTTAAGATGGTATAACACTTTGTGAGTGTATTTTTAGTAGTAATTATATTAGTAGTAGTAATTTTCTTATTACAAGCTCTACGTTTCTTTAATAGGGTCTTGTTCTGTATATGGTAGTGTCCTCTCACCCATAGGGCATACATTTCAAGACTCCAGTGAATGACTGAAACCACGGAGATAGTAACACACCCTATATGTACTGTTATTTTTTATGCATATATACCTTTGGGAACGTGTAATGTATAAATAAGGCACAGTAAGAGATTAAAAATAAATAGTAATAAAATAGAATAGTTATAACAAATACAGTGAGTTATTTCAGTGAGGTGTCTCTCTCAAAGTGTCGTTTTGTCCTATATTTACCCTTGTGATGATGTAAGATGATAAAATGCCTACATGATGAGATTAGGTTAGGTGAATGATGTAGGCATTTTTATGTGACATTAGGCTACTATTGACCTTTTGACCATAACATCAAAAGGAGGATTCATCTGCTTCCACACTAATGGAAATTAGAACTGTGGATGAGGGATGGGTACTATACCTAGCAACTAACAGAGGGGCCATCTCTTTTTTCAGGTTATCCTCTTGGTAGTTTTTACTTTTCGAGTTTTTATTTCATGGTAACATACAGAGTACTTAACAGTATTTCATAGAAATCGATATATTGATTGGGGTTGATTTTTGTAGTCATTTGATACATGTGACTTATGTGACTTAACAGACAAAAATGTCTTTGTAAACTTGACGGTTGCTTATAAACATTAGTTTGGGGAGATGATTGAGAGAGTGTGACATCAGTCTTGTCTCTGGCATCTTGAGTCGGACATTAGATATTCTACTTAAACCTTTTATCTGAATAATGTGCAAATTTATTTATTAGTTTCAAATGATATTTTTATTATGTTCTGTTTCTATTATTCATAGTTTAAAAAAATACAAGCTTATGATTTTTATCTAAATATTCCATAAACTTTTTTTAATACCATTTAGTTAATAAACCATGCTTTGAAAGAACTAATGGAAATAGAAGAAGTGAGTGAGAATGTATTACAAGTTCACCTAAATGGTAAGTATGTCATAATTTTGCCATTGGAAATGATATAAGCCATGTGAGCTTTTTATAATACAAAACCTAATTTACCTAAAATGTTTAAAGGTGGATGACAATTATATTTTAAAAACATGATCCATGTTTAACAACTTCCACTTTAAAGTACCATATGCATTATTTTTAGAAACTAAAATAATAATAATAATAGTAATATACAAAGGAAGCACATAAGGACTCTTGTTTTTTGTCTTTCTTTTCTTAAAATAAAAGAATCCCAAGGTAGATAGTTCTTTGAGTCTACCACGTCTTTATTGCTGTGCTTCAAAAAGGAAGTAATGTAAACAAACAGGCTTTTGACTTTTTTCTTTCTAGTTAAATTTAAAAAGCGTTAGAAAACTTACTTGACTGGAAAATAACCTGTGCTCTATCAAATAAATATTTCATTTTAATTAAATATTTTTAAATGGACTTTATTTCAGGACTGCTGCAGATCAATGATAAAATTGCCCTAAAGGAAATCACAAGACAGTTAAATCTGGAAAATGTAGTTGGAGATAAAGTTTTTGTAAGTATTGTTTCTATTCCTTTATTAAATAGGCTTTAATGTTTGCATGGCATAGATATTTTTATATTTTTGAAAGACTAGGGCAGGTTCAGAGATTCTAAATTGAAATCTGAAATATTCTTGTCGTAAAAAAGTATAAGGTTCTAGGATGCATTTATTATCATATCTTTAGATTTTTTAAAGTAGATCACACTATAAAATAGTCAAGAAATCCGTGTTTCTGTAGATATTATCTGAGTTTGTTTCTTTACGTGTTAAGAGAAATATCTTGATTCTCTGTTCTTGGAGGTAGATTAATATATTTTTTAAAGTACTACACTCTAGGGGCGCCTGGGTGGCGCAGTCGGTTAAGCGTCCGACTTCAGCCAGGTCACGATCTCGCGGTCCGTGAGTTCGAGCCCCGCGTCAGGCTCTGGGCTGATGGCTCAGAGCCTGGAGCCTGTTTCTGTTTCTGTGCCTCCCTCTCTCTCTGCCCCTCCCCCGTTCATGCTCTGTCTCTCTCTGTCCCAAAAATAAATAAACGTTGAAAAAAAATTAAAAAAAAAAAAAAAGAAAAAAAAATAAAGTACTACACTCTAGCAGTCTGTTTTTAGTCTTTTGAGACTTGGGTAGCTAGGTGTAATGGAAAATGTGCTGAATTTGAAGCTATTAAATGTGGATTTGAGCCTTGTCTTGAAACTGTTGACTACATGGCCATCATGGCTAGTATCTCTGAAGTTTTCTCATCTGTGTTAAATGTGCATTATCTTCTCATACTTCACAGATTTATTCTAAAGACAAAAGGGAGCATTGAACATAATTTATATTTGAAAAATGCTGGTTTTGTGATGTACTATACAAATTTCAGTTATCTCTTACAAATGTCAGTTATCTCTTACTATTAAAATGTTTTCAGAAACTTATTTATACCTCATTATTGTAGCAGCTCGGAATCTCAGGATTGGTGAACATCAGTTACTTAAATGAAACTGATCAGCAATGTTCTGGAACTTTTATTAAAATGTTTACCCTATCACTTTATTTATAGGGTTCTAGAGAAACATTAATTTATAGCTACCTTAACTTTCATAATGAAATGACTACCTCTCCTACTGCTTACTCAATTAAAGTGGGTTGTATACATCCCAGTTCATTTTCTGCTCACTGGTGATCATACAGTACTATCACTCTAAAATGTATACTCTTTTCTGCAATGGCATAGCCATAGTTGTAAGCCTCTTTAGTAATTACTTATAAAAAGTTGAGCCAATCATGTGTTATCCTTCTACACTGTCTACAGGTTCATAATGCCCCTTCTATAAGTCTAATGTTCTGTCTCCTATTCAGACTGTACTGTTGAATACAGTGGCCTACCTGATCGAGGAGATTTACTATTAGATAGGCTCAGTGTGGCCTTCGGTTTGCAATCGATGTAGACTGGTGTTTCTAACTTTCCTAAATGGACCTATTTATATTGGATTCATAGGAATTGATTAAAAAGTCACCGTTGTTTAACATCCTGGGTCATTACTTTTGTTAATAGCATCACATAAAGACATTATTTAACTTCTACATTATATACATCAGTCACCTGAGGCAAACAATATATTTAGCTTACCTAAGGTCATAAAATGACAAAGGCTGGACATTAAGAACCGAAGTCACTTAACTGAACGCAGAGTCTTTCTGTTTTGATATACTTAGAGCAAATTTCTATATTCCTGTAAATGTATATGGATATCTATATACAATACATGTATATGTACTCATATAAGGATATTCTTATATGTGCATATGTATTTATATAATGATAAACTTAATGTCAGGTTATAACTGTCTTTAAAAAGAAGGAGGGTGGCATCTGGGTGGCTCCTTTGGTCGGGCGTCCAACTCTTGATTTTGGCTCAGGTCATGATCTCCCAATTTGTGGGATTAAGCCCCAAATCAGGCTCAGCACTGACAGCACAGAGTCTGCTTGGGATTCACACACACTCTCTCTCTTAAAAATAAATAAATAAACTTTAGAAAAAAGACTAACAGGCTCAGCACTGACAGCACAGAGTCTGCTTGGGATTCACACACACTCTCTTCTCTCTTAAAAATAAATAAATGAACTTTAGAAAAAAGACTAACAACCTTTGAATAACTTTGGCTAGTAGTTATTTGGCTAGTACTTTGGCTAGTAGTTGAATAACTTTGGATAGTACTGACTTACCCACAGCCTGTGAGCCTTTATTTATATTATGGTAAATACTTCTTGCCCTTCCTGTCTTGGAAATAATGTTGATTTGTCAACATGCAATTATAGTAAAATATGTGCAAGTTCTTAAAAACCTATTATGCTATTTTGTATCAGTTCTCTCAAAATTGGAAAACAAGTGGATTTCTTTTCTCTGATATGTCTTTGCAAATTTAAAGTTGGTTATTTAAATCAAAAAATCTGAATAACGTAAAAATTAATGACTTAAATGAAAAAATATTTTAAAGGGCCTTTATCCACAAGCTGGAACATCAGGGTAACGCATGTGCTACTCTCTTAATTTCCACATAGAATATATTTAAGTTTTATCCAAAAATGTTTTGGCTGTGTTCCAAGTAAACAGCCAAATTTGATATGATATATACACATTCTATGATATGCTCTTGAATAGGTAAAAACAATTATAGTATGGAATATTTGAGGCAAATTTCTTCTCCCATTTCCTTTTGGATCTGATTTAAATTCATGGGCATTTTTTAATGTTCAAATTAATCTGAGACTGGCAAGAGCTTAATGTATTTGAAGCACAATGGAGTTTTAGTTCTCTGACTGTATTTAGAATATAGCAAGTCTTAAAAACAACCTTTAAAGTTAACATTTTTACAGATTTTATCTGGAAAATGTAAAATTGTAAACATGACAGAGTTATGCCGTTTTCAACACTATGCCATCCCTGCTTCAACATTTTAAGTTTTTAGTGATGCACATAGAAATACCCAGCTCAGAATCTGACTGCTGACTAATTTGAATCTAGAAAAAAATAGATACATAATGCCTATATAATGTCCAAATATCATAGTCCTCTTTTATTCTTTATTTCATTAAACTTTTAGTCATGGTGTCTATTTTTGTTGTTCAGGGAAGCTTTGCTGAAAACCTTTCATTTCTTCTGGAAGCTTTGAAAAAAGGTAAATATTAGCATATTTAACACCATCTGAAGATATCACCTACAGTATATCACTGATACAGATGGATGTAATTTTGTATAAGATTAAAATAATTTTCCATATTGTATAACCTGTATCTTTTCACTTACTTAACGGTGTGTTGTGAACATCTTTCTGTGTCAGTAATTAGTGAGCTACACCATCATTTTTATGGTTCTCATTTATTCTGTTTTATAAATTAATTATGCTCCAAATATATTAAATTAGGTTCTTAATCACCAGTTCTGGACATTCTAACTTTGTACAATTAGGAAGAAATGCTTAAATTGTCATTTGGATTTTTCCTGGGGTAAATTTTAGTGAGTAGAATTCTTGATCAAACTGTACCACATTTAAAAGTATAAATATAACCAAACTACCTTGGAAATTCTATTTTCTAAACATATTTGAGAGTACCTTTTCCTTCACAACTTTTATTCAAAGTTATTATTTTTCATGTTTGCCTAAGAGAAAAAAATACATCTCTTAGTTTAATATGCATAATGTTGGTGTTAATGATGCTCACCACTTCATACTTTTATTGGGCACTGATATTTTTTGGTTTGTGTATTTCCTGTTGGTTCTTATGCCTTATTTTGGTGATGTTTATCTCATACTCATTCATGAAAATTCTTGCACTTATTTTTCTCTTAAATTTGGTTTGGACTTTTCTGCTGAAGTTTTAAATTTTTTACATAGTCGAAATTTTTGTCTTTAGATTTTGAAGACATCTAGTTAATGTTTTCATCTAACATATACTTATAATCTGGTGAGAACTTATTTTGATAAGGTGTAAAGTTGAGATGTGACCTTGTATATAAACCACTTTTCCCCATTGATTTGTAATGACATATTTTATCAAATACTAAATTTCTATATTATATAGGTTTGTTTATAGACTTTTTAAGTAGTCCTCAGGCTTTTCATGCCATTTAGGTTTCTGTATATGTTTTATTATCTGTTAAATGTCCTCTTACCAGATTTTCTTTTCACTTGTGTATGTAAATATAAAGCCGTAAACTTTAAGGTAATAGCAATTCGTCTGTTAAAGTAGTTTCCCTCATTGTAATGAGAAAAATGAATTCACAGAGTCATGTTGAACTTTCCCTATTGTTGAAATATTAAAATTGTCAGGGCAGGGCTCAAAAAGGAGTTAAAAGTAGCTTTGGTTGAATTCATAATTTAACAATTTATTTGTAAAAATTTTAAGCACCTGGGAAAATGCACTTTGTATTTCTGCTAACTAAACAAGTCTCTTTTGAAGCAAAAGTTTTGTTCATAAGCTAGTTGCTCCCTTTATTATTAATACCAAAGTGTTTTGGAGTATGTAGGTGTTAAGAGATCCTTGTCAATTTTTTGATGGTAAAAGATTATGTTTCCATAATTTAAAAAATAATGGCATAATCACTTAAATAATTCTTGAGTTTTTTTATTAGTAAACTAGAATCTGGTAATTAAACTGTGAACTACTTGAGGGCAGTAAGGGCTATCTTGTCATGTGAACAATTTTTTGTTGAATAAATGTACATGCACTGTTAAGTATCCTACCCAAAGTAGGTTTTTCAGTATGTATTTGTTGAATTGAGTTTTAACAACTAAAATGTAGTGAATAATTTGGAAACTTAAGAAAGGTTGATATAATTGCTTATTAATATAAAACTCTTATTTTATCTTAGGTGACAGGTCTAGTAGTTGCCCAGTGATCTTCATATTAGATGAATTTGATCTTTTTGCTCATCATAAAAACCAGACACTCCTCTATAATCTTTTTGACATTTCTCAGTCTGCACAGACTCCACTAGCAGTTATTGGTCTTACATGTAGATTGGTAAGTTATTCTTTCTATTAAAAAATTGATTATAATATTTAGATAATTAAAGCTTAATTACTGATGTAGTCACTTATGTAGGTGATTATATTAAGCATTTCTTTCAAATGTGTTTTATCAGTGCCTTGTGCATTTATCCTACTTTTCAGCTCAGATTGAAGGAAACAATTATTCACACATACTCATAAACTAATACCTCCCTTTCTCCAGTGGAATCACTGAATGAAAATGCGAAGTCAGATTATGCTAGTATAATTTCTACATTAGCAAGTAAAAAGACAATGAAATAATCTTACCATCATGTTATAAAAATTGCTAATTACTTTTATATTTAAGATTCATTCTATATTTTGATAATGCTTGGAATTGAGTAAAAATGATACTATCCCCTCTTTGTACGTACACATCTTGAGAAATGGAAGGGATTACTTCTGTCAAGATGTCACAGTAGATAGTGGCTTCTTTGCTTTTTGGGGGGATTTTAGAATGATTGTAACCATAGTCTCATTGTTGCTATCACATTACTTTGTGAAGACTCTACATGTTGAACCCTATGTACCTTCAGATGGCTACACAGGCCTTTTTTAATCTTCTTTTACATTATAAACTTTATTACTGAATTCAGATAAAACTGGTACTTAAGGGTCATCTCTCTTCTCATGCTCTGGCTGCCATGAGTCTGTTGTTTTCATCCTTCTTTTCCCTCCTGCATTCTTGGTAGCCTTGTATCAGGCTCATTTACTTCTTTTTCTTTCCTGCAGCTGTTTTTTTTTTTTTTTTTAGAACAGTGAAATGCTTTAAGTCATCTTTCAACAGTCCTCCTGCCAGTGCTGTTTTTCTGTGTAGTGTCTTTCTCTGTTTTCTTTTCCTGGTGCTCTAGAGATGCTTTCTATGAATATACTCCCATATAAGCTTCCTCATGAGAACATCTGCTTCAGGTCTTATTTCCTCTTCCTGTCTTGCCAAGGAAAGCCATTGGACATCACAGGAGTTAAGGAAGCATCTTCTTGCTAAAAAAAAAAAAAAAAAAAAACCAAAAAACTCTTTGGGTAGAAGAAGCAGTGGCAAATGTTATTGCCCCAATGAAGGACCAAATAAAGAATCAGCTGCTCCCTAGTAGTGTTATCTTAGGCCTTTAAAAATTCTACATGTATAATTCTCCAACTATGCAGTTCAATTCTAAGTATATCCGTATGTCCATGTCTATAGGAAAAAAGTCAAAAGATGGGTGGATTAGTGAGTTTGCCAGCAAACAACCTCTTCCCTGTGGAAGTATTTCTTTTTTGGTACTATCCCCTCTATTCCCACATTGCCAGCTTCTGTCATTACTCTCCACCACTAAAATATCTTTTACTTCTACCTCTTTCTTTCCATTCCCAAGTTCAAGCTTTTAATTATTGGTTGTATAGAGTGTTGTTTCCACTACCTTTCAGGCACCTACCTATATGGATGATCTAGAACTACTCCTTAATAGAAAATAAATTTATAATACTGCTGTTTCTGAACATAACTTTTGTCTCTTTTAATTATGCTGGCACTTAACCTATTAAGAACATTCCAGGTTTTTTATTCACCTTCTGCCTTCTAAACCCAAGTTATTAAGTCTTTCCTGTCTTCCTTTCCAGACTAACCATGATCCCATGTTGATCACTTGAATTCTTTCAAGCTCTATATGATTGGTTTCTCAACCTAGTAATTAGGAAAATCATCTGGGTAGATTTAAAAATCCATATTTTAGGGCCTCACCAGAGCATTTTTAAGTTTTTTTTACTATAGAAACTTGACAGTAAACTTGATTTTAACTTTTTAAGGACAAATAGCACAAATGCAAGTAGTTTCTAAAATATCACTATAAAAAGACAAAAGACAGAATAACTTATCAGTGTCATGCCGTGTTCCTTCAAGTTTCCTCTCCTATAGTTTGTTCTTGTAGTTCAGCTTGCTTCAGCTTGAATTTATAGGTAGTTTTGTGAAGTCAACTTTTCTCCATTACATGTACTATTTCTTGAGTCTTTGTTACATAAAACAATGAAGATATTTAAATTTGCAGGAATGTAATAATCTTACTACATTTTACCATTTCTTTAATCTGAATTCTTTATAGAATATGCAATTCCTTATTGAAATTCTTGGTGATGGGGCACCTGGGTGGCTCATTCAGCTAAGTGTCCAGCTCTTGATTTCGGCTCAGGTCATACACTCTCTAATGGTTCATGAGATCGAGTCCCGTGTTGGGCTCTGTGCTGTGCCTTTCCCCCAGTCACACTCACTCTCAAAATAAGTAAATAAACACTTAAATTATTGGTGTTACTGTGGTGTAGAACTATTCAGTAATAGTTACAATTCTTTTGCAATTATTGTTGGTCTTAGAATGTTAAAGATTAACTGATAGTAGCATAGTAGGTAAAAGGCATGATAACACCAGGCCTAGCAATGCTTAGAAGGGAATTAATAAAATTAGCTTGTGTAATAATTAAAGAAATCAAGGGAATGATTTGAGGTTTTGGAGGCTTACACAAGTTTTAAAGTTCAATTATGTATTATAGGATAAACATTGTTAATTACAGGTGATTGTTCGAATATGTATACTTCTAATATTGGTATGTTGTTTTTGAAAAAACATGCATCTTATATGGATTGTTGTTGTTGTTTTTAAGGATATTTTGGAACTCTTAGAAAAAAGAGTGAAGTCACGATTTTCTCACCGGCAGATACATTTAATGAATTCATTTGGTTTTCCACAATATCTTAAAATATTTAAAGAACAATTATCTCTACCTGCAGAATTTCCAGACAAGCTCTTCACTGAGAAGTGGAATGAGAGCATTCAGGTAACTTGGAACAGAGGCAATAATGTTAAAGTAATTTTTGTGCTTTGGTATACCATTGAAAGCAATAAAAACCTACAAATTAAAAAAAAATTGTAAATTAGCACAAAGCTTCTAATGTTACTGTAGCATAGAACTGCATTAATACAAATCATACACTTAAGTGTGCGTGCATGTGTGTGTGTGTTTTAAAGGAGATTGAAATGTCATATCTTAAATTTTTTCTCAAAAGAACTTTAGTGAGATTTTTGTTTTATTTATATCTACTTATATTTTAGATTATTTTGTTAATATTTAGGTTACTAAAAAAAAATTATTTTCTTTATTTACAAGTTTAGCAATAGTTTAGCTTAATGGTTCATCACTAACTATCCAGTGTGGATTGTTTTCTTTTCTAGTTCTCAGACAGTTTTAACTTTTATGTCATTTGGGTCTCTTAAGTCAAGTAAGGTTTGGCATGGTTGTATTGTCTGTGTTGGTGAATATCATCATGCAGTCCCTAGAACCCTGAGAGTCTTAGCTACCAAGGCACGCTCACATGTTGATTTAAAAGTTAACTAATAAACCTTGTGGACTCTATAAATTTACCTAACCTTAAGTTGAATAGCCTAACTTATATAGACCATTGTCATATCAACTCAGCATACTAGCATCAGTTTATCTTACACTGACAAGAGTTTTCAGGGGTACCTGGATGGCACAGTTGGTTAAGCATCTGACTCTTGATTTCAGCTCGGGTCATGATCTCATGGTTCGTGAGATACTTTGGATTTTACTTTTGCTTTAGATTCTCTCTCTCTCTCTCTCTCTCTCTCTCTCTCTCTCTCCCCTTCCCCCACTCACACTCTTTCTTTCTCTGTCTAAAAATAAACAAACATTAAGTAATTTTCAGTTGGCAGGATGAAGGGAGAGAGTATGCCAGGAGTGTGTTTAATAACAAAATTGAAAAACTATTGCTGAATAAATCCCACATGGTAGAATCTTTCAAAACTATGGGTCTTGTGAAGGTGGAAGATAATGGAGAGTCCTTGGTTTTCAAAGAATTTGGAGGGGAGCCTGGTAGGCTCAGTTGGCTAAGCGTCCGACTCTTGGTTTTGGTTCAGGTCATGATCTCACAGTTTGTGAGTTCCAAAACATCATCAGGCTCCATGCTGACAGTGCAGAGCCTGCTTGGGAGTCTCTCTCTGCCCCTCCCCTACTCCTCTGTCCCTCCCTCTCTCTCTCTCTCAAAAGTATATAAACTTAAATAAATAAATAAATAAATAAATAAATAAATAAATAAATAAAAGAATTTGGAAAAACTGATCTATAATATTAAATACTGATGCAAATAATTAGATCTTTAGACAATTAAATTTGCACAGTGTGTATTCACCGGCTCTAAAAAATATTGTTTATGTCAAAGCAGTAATTTTTTTTTTTTTGCAGTTTCAAGTTTTTATTTAAATTCTAGTTCATTAACATACAGTGTAATATTAGTTTCAGGTGTAGAATCCACTGATTCGTCACTTGCATACAACACCCAGTGCTCATCACTAGTGTCCACCTTAATACCCATCACCCATTTAACCTTCCCACTCCCCTCCCCTCCAGCAACCCACAATTTGTTCTCTATAGTTAAGAGTCTGTTTTATGGTTTGCCTCTCTGGAATGAAACTGGACCACTTTCTTATACCCTTCACAAAAATAAATTCAAAATGGATCAAAGACCAAATTTGAGAAAGGAAACCATCAAAATCCTAGAGGTGACCACAGGCAGTAAACTCTTTGACATCAGCCGTAGCAACTTCTTACTAGATATGTCTCCTGAGGCAAGGGAAACAAAAGCAAAAAATGAACTACTGAGATTTTATCAAGATAAAAAGCTTTGGCATGGTGGAAGAAACATTGGACAAAACTAAAAGGCAACCTATGGAAAGGAAGAAGATTTTTGCAAATGACATCTGATACAGGGTTAGTGTCCAAAATACATAAAATACTTACAACATTCATAAAACAAAGACATCTTCTTTTCCAAAGAAGACATACAGATGGCTAACCGACACATGAAAAGATGCTCAGCGTCACTCATCATCAAGAAAATACAAATCAAAACTACAGTGAGCTATCACCTCATACCTGTCAGAATGGCTAAAATTAACACAAGAAACAACAGATATTGGTGAGGATTCAGAGAAAGGGGAACCCACTGCTGGTAGGAACACAAACTGGTGGAGCCACTCTGGGAAACAGTTTGGAGGTTCCTCAAAAAGTTAAAACTACCTTATGATCCAGCAATTGCACTACTAGGTATTTACCCAAAGGATACAAAAATACTGATTCAGAGGACACCAGCATGGCTTAGTCAGTCATCTGACTCTTGATCTTAGCTTAGTGTTGATGTCGGGGTCATGAGTTCAAGCCCTGCATTGGGCTCCACGCTGGGCATGGAGCCGACCTTAAAAACAAAAACAAAAGCAAAAACAAAACCTGATTCAAGAAGCAATAGTGATTTTAATCTTGAATATCAATACCAAATTAAATGTGAGAACTTTGCATTTATTTTGCTCTTAAACAATTTTTTAATTTTTCCCAGCTTTGTTGAGCTATAATTGATAAAATAAAAATTATATATATTTTAGGTTTACAGCTTGGTGTTTTGATATACAAATACATATAGAAATGCCACAATCAAGCTATACAATGCATCTATCACTCCATTAGTTACCATTTTCTTTCTATTCTTTTTCCTTTTTCCTTTTTCCATTTTTATTTTGTGGGAGGAGGTGAAAACACTTATCTGTCTTCGAAACAAATTTCAGGTGTACAATATTGTTTACCATAGTCACATTTTTATGTGATATTTTTATTTATTCATCTTGCATAACTAAAACTTGATTCTTGTTTTGATTATAAAATATAGTCTACTCATATAAGTACTGTTAATTTTGTCATTTTTTATTTTTTTAAAGTTCCTCAAATGGGAACACGCTACTGGCTCATTTGGAAGAGCATGTGACTCTTGATATTGGGGTCATGAGTCTACTCCCCACATTGGGTGTAGAAATTACTAAAAGTTCACTGAGTAAAATTTAATCAGTTCATAGGAATAAATATACGGTGAAAGGTGCATGGCTCAGGGCTCAGTTGATTGTCTGACTCTTGATTTTGGCCCAAGATACCAGGGTCGTGGGATTCAAGCCCCATGTTGAGGTCCACACAGAACTTGGAGCTTGCTTAAGATTCTCTCCTTCTCTCTCTCTTAAAAAAAAAAAAAAAAAAAAAAAAAATACAAGTTTCCCTTATATCCATGCCTATCTCCCTCCCTTTAGTATGGAGTAATTATTTGGCTTATAGCATTTCAAACATATACATACTGAAGTTGTTACTACATAAAGAGTTCAAACTTTGCATGTTATTTTTGCTTTCCCTTTCCCATTTTGTTTTGATGGATACTTCATATTATTCTTAGTATAACTGTACAGAATTGTATGCAAAAATGGTTGACTTTATTCTTAAAATTCACATATTGTGCTATGATATAATTAGGTGTGGGTTTTCCCTTGTTCCCTTCTCCCCAAGTTAATCTCACCTGGGACTCAGATACTTGTCAGCTCAGGAAAGTTTTTTTGATACTGTATCTTACTATAAGATTCTGTTCTTTAGGAACCCTTTATATTTGGTACTTCCACATTGTCCCTTTCCTTAAATAGGTCTGTAGCGGATCAGAGCTCTGGATCTTTGGCCTCTGAATCCACTTTCAGTGCCTCACAGACTTTCACCTTGTACAGTTACAAGACATTCAAATGCAGTCTTTCATAGTATTTAAATGTCTTTGCCAGGTCTTCTGTTATTTCTGTCTCTACTTCCTGTCTTTTCCCAAGATGAATTACATAGCCCAGGTTGTACTGTGCTGTCATTTATCTTTCTGTCCTTCCCAGCTATATTGCATTCTCTGCATCTGAGTGGGTATATAAAGGAAGTAGATGATAAGGGCTACTGATGAAGCATAATTCTGGATGATTTAGAAAATGGTAGCCGTGTGGTAGGAGATGGCTAACGCTTGTGTTTTTGGTCATTTTTTGCTGATTCTATATCACTGAATTTAGGGGCAGATGGTAGAAATGAATGTGAGAAGATAGAAGACTGTCTGGTCTTTTGTTTGTTTCCTTTTTACAATTTTGCAGTTCTTTAATAAGGTAGAACTAGTACAACTGGAGTTAGTTCTAGAGTTTTCTTCCTTTTATCCTAATCCTCATTTGCCACTTACTTTTGGTGTGCTAATAGAGGAGCTTCATTTGAAAAATAAGTCAGCACCATGGCCAGAGGCCCTGTCCTGTAAGAGGGGAGGGCTGCATTGAGGGAGCTATCCTGTCTCTCAGTACTGACTATCCAGCAAGTTTTTCTGATTCCCATCTTAAAACCAAAGCAATGGTATAGATAACAGGTTGCCTGTGGAATTTCATCCAAGAAACATATTCAGGATAAGGTTGAACCTGGATATTCTGCCTAACTTGAATGTTTGTTGTAGTCCTACCCCAAATGAATCAAATAAGTAAAATGAACACCATCTCAGCATGGCAGTATAAGCGAAATTCCTGTAAAAGAGCATTTAAAAGGACCATAACTAATTCTCCTCAAAGGAAATTCCCCCAGAGTACTATAGCTAAGTTCAAGGACCTTAGCCACTGTCGTAACCTTTCCTGTTTAGTTAACAGAAGGTGAGAAGATTTAGCAGGAACTGACCAGGAGAAAACTGAAACTTGGAGGTACAGGACTACTCATCTTCTGTCAGTATGCCACAATCTTCCTACATTGCTCATGCTGTTCCCTGTAGATGGAATGCTTTCTTTTTAGCGTATTGACTCATACATACAGTTTAAGCATTCTTTGTAATGCTTTACCTTGTTTTCCTAAATATAGTAATTCTTACTCTCTGTTGTATTTTGTGCTGAATTTTGGTCATCCCACTGGTGTGACTATAGATTCCCTTTTTAGACCAGAAACTGTGGGATAGTAAGGATTGTTTTACCTTTGTGTATATTTAATCAACATAAAGGGATAAGAAGAAAATCAATAGACTGGAAAGTTCATTTTGACCTATTTTGATCTTTGTATTCTACAAATAAAACCAACGCATATTTAATAATAAATAAATGTCAGAATTAATGAGCTACAGCAACAAGTGAGGCACAACATTATAGTTAGGTTTTAAACTGCCTTTTTACTACTTACCTGTTTTACTGGGTTTTTTTTCCCCTCTAGTGTCTCACAGAAGATAGAAGTGTGCGAGAAGTACTACAAAAGCATTTCAATGTCAGCAAAAACCTGCGGTCATTACACATGCTATTGGTTTGTATTCATTTTATTTTTACCTCTCATTTTCTTTCACTAGGTAATTACATTTTGATGGGAACTGATTAAGCCTACAGGTAAATTTTGGGAGAATTAGCATGATTACTACACTGAATCTTCCAATCCAGACTATGGTACATTTCTCCTTTTACTTAGTTTTTCTTTAATTTATTTCATCATCATTTTATAATTTTTACCACACATATTTTGTACATGCTTAAAATGTATACCTAGGTATTTCATTTTCTTTGAAAATTATATTATACAAATATCATATGTAAATGATATCTTGTTTTTAATTATGTTTTTAACATGCTCATTGTTAGTATATAGAAATGTAAGTCTAATGGTATAATAAATGTCTGTGACTATTAAATTTATGGCTGCGAGTAGTGTAAATATGTATAGATACTTTGAAAAACAATTTGGTAAATTAGATATCCAGAGAAACTCAGATGCACAAGACGGCATGTACAAGAATGCTTACAGCAACCTTGTTTATAATTGCAAAAAAAGGGAAATAACAGGTATCTATCAATGAGGATATATGATGGGAAAATGAATAAACTGGAATTGATACCTCAACATGGATAAATTCTCGGAATAGATGTTCAATGAAGAGAGTTGCATAAGTACAATATGGTATTTATATAAAACTTGAAAATTACACTGTGTTGTCTAGGAATGTATACATATGTAGTAGAAGTATAACAGCATGCATGGTTTTTTGTACGAGAAAGAGTAGGAGTCCAACCAGGGAAGAAATAGAGTCTGTAAAATTACATTTTATAAGCTGAGGAAGTGGTCATAAATATCTGTTACATCATTCCTTTGCCTTTTTGTATGTCACAGATATTTTATAATAAAAGGGAAAAGTTACAGTTAAGACTATGAGTAAGAGAAGGAGTTACTATGTACCAAGTTCTCTCCCAATAGAGAAATGAAGGACAAGGATTTCCAAACTCTTCTGTTCAACTAAGGACCCTGGGCCCTAGTTAACATGGGGGAGAATTTCTAGTATAAATATTTTCCAAATATTACAGGGTACATAGTTACACTAAGAAATTATTCATTGTTTACCTGTAATTCAAATGTAAGCAGTTGTCATAACATTTTCATCTGCTAACTCTGCTTACCCTATGTAATGACTAAATTTAAATATTATGAAAATTACACTTAAAGGAATCTTCAAATTGTTGGAAAGCCAAGTAGCTACATGACAAGTTGTCTCTAGGTGTCATTTTGGCTTTTAATTTTTTTTTTTTTTTTTTTTTTTTTTTTTTTTTATGTACAATTGAACATAAAGTGGGTAACTTCTGTCACATAACACTAACCTGAACTAGCTAATTTGGTAGCCAAAAAGTTTATACAAGTCACAGGTCTGCCTTTGTGATTTGGTCTAGGGCTTTGAATAATACTTTGTTTTTTAATTGACATATAGTTGACATTCAGTATTATGCTAGTTTCAGCCACACAGCATAGTGATTCGACATTTTAATGCATTATAAAATGCTCACCGTAAGTATAGTCACCATGTTACCTGATTTCCTGTTTCAATCCATTATACCTGGAAAACATGCTTAATATGATTACAGTCTGATTAAAGTTATTGAGACTTGTTTTCTGGCCTAACATGTAACCTGTCCTAGAGAATGTTCCACGTAGACTTGAGAAGAATGTGTTTGGCACTGTTTTTGGATGGAATGAGCTGTATATATCTGCTAAATCTACCTGGTCTAGTGTGTTAAGGCCCATGTTTCCTTACTGATTTTGTCTGGATAATCTATCCACTGATGTAAGTGGAGTATTAAATTACAATTAATGTACTTATAAAAAGTATTCTGACAGTTTAGAGCCTGGAGCCTGCTTCTGATTCTGTGTCTCCCTCTCTCTCTGCTCCTCCCCCGTTCATGCTCTGTCTCTCTCTCTCTCCTTCAAAAATAAATACATTAAAAAAAATTTTTTTTAAAGTATTATGGTCAGTTTCTCCCTTTTTGTGTTAATATTTGCTTTATATATTTAGGTGCTTCTGTGTTGGATGCATATATATTTACAATTGTTATATTCTCTTACCGGATTGATCCCTTTATCATTACATAATGTCCTTTGTGTCTTATCACAGTCTGTGTTTTTTGTTTTTTTTTTTGATGTCTGTTTTGTCTGATAGAACCTTTGCCACCCTCCCTTTTTTTTTTTTTCTTCCCCCCATTTGCGTATCTTTTTCCTTCCCTTCACTTTTCAGTCTGTATATATCCTTAGGTCTGAAGTGAGTCTTGTGTAGGCAGCATATAGATGGATCTTGTTTTGTTTTTTTCTTTTAATCATTCAGCAACCTTATTTATGTCTTTTAATTGGAACACTTAGTCCATTGACATTAAAAGTGGTTATTGATAGGTATATACTTATTGCTCTTTTGTTAATTGTTTTCTGGTTGCTTTTGTAGTTCTTCTCTATTCTTCTCTTGCTGTCTTCCCTTGTGATTTGAGGACTTTTTAGTATAGTGTTTGGATTCGTTTCTCTATTTTTTGTGTATCTGTTTTAAGTTGTTGGGTTTGTGGTTGCCATGAGGTGTATTTATATGTATATATGTACATATATACATGTATATATATATACACACACACACATACACATATATATACATATATAAATATAACACTGTATGTTAATCTATTTTAAGTTGGTAGTTTAAATTCAAAAGCATTTTAAAAGCACTGCATGTTAACTCTCCTCCAACTCCTACAGTTTATGTGTTTGGTCTCATATTTTACATCCTTTAATATAAGCCTTAACTAATCATAGATATAGTTGATTGTATTACTTTTGTCTTTTAACCTTCCTTCAAGCTTTATAAGTGATTGCTCTCCTCCCTTTACTATATGTTCACTTTTACCAGTGAATTTTTTTTCCCAAAATTTTTAAAAAATTCCTCTTGAGCTCTTTTCTTTATTGCTTTAAGCAGTGCCTTTAACATTTCTTGTGAGGCTGGTTCAGTGGTGATGAACTCCTTTAACTATATCTTGGAAATTTTATCTCTCCCTCAATTCAGAATAATAATTTTGTTAGGTAGAATATTCTTTGTTGTAGGTTTATTCCTTTCGGCACTCTGAATATTATGTGTCTTATTGTAGACCTCCTTGGGTTCATCTTCTTTGGGGCTTTCTGTACTTCTTGGACCTGGATGTCTGTTTCCTTCTCCAGGTTAGGGAAGTTTTCAGCTATGATTTCTTCAGATAAGTTTTCTGCCCACTACTCTCTTTCTTCTCCTTTTGGGACCTCTATAATGTGAATATTAGTATGCTTGGTGTCCTAGTGGTCCCTTAATGTATCCTCATTTTTAAGATTCCTTTTCCTCTTTGCTGTACAGCTTGGGTCCTTTCCATTACCTTGTTTTCTGATTACTGATCCATTCTTCTGCATCTTTTAATTTGTTGATTCCCTCTGGCTTATTTTTCATTTCAGTTATTGTGTTCTTCAGCTCTGATTGGTTCTTTTTTATTGTTCTTATATCTTTGTTGAAGTTCTTGCTGAGTTTGTCCACTCGTCTTCCAAGTTAGGTGATCATCTTTATGACCATTATTCTGAGGTCTTTATCAGGCTGATTGCTTAATTATATTGTTTTGCTCTTTTTCTGAGGTTCTTTTTTCATTTGGAACATATTCTTCTGTCTCCTCATTTTGTCTGAATTTGCGTTTGTTTATAGTAGATAGGTCAGCGACATGTCCTGGTCTTAAAGGTAGTGTGGTCTCATGTAGAAGGCATCCTTGGAGCCCAGAAACACAATCCTTTCTGGTCACTAGAACTGGAGCTTTCAGGGCTGTTTCATGTGGGCTGCTTGCACCCCCCTGTTGTTACTGGGCGCACTTGTCAGGGCTGGCTCCTGGCCCAAATAGCTGCAGCGCCTCACCACAACTACTGCGGGCATACCAGTGTGTGCAGGTGGAGCTGGCCCTCGTGGCTGAGAGAGCAGACTGTAGCTGCTGAGGGTAGGTGGGTGGGGCAGCCCCTGTGTGGCTGGTTGTGAGATCCCACCATGACTGTTCTGTGCTTGCTGGTGGGTGGGGCTGGCTCCCTCTTTCCTTGAGTAGGACTCATTTGGAAGGGATACCTACTAGGTGGGTGATTTGGGTGGGGTTGTTCCACAGAGGAATGCCCTTGGCATGGATAGTGGTGCTAACAAGGTAGATGGATAGTGCCACGGCTGGCTCTTGTAAGTCTAATGAGCTTAGCTGAAGGAAGACAAGAAAAATAGTTCTGCCAACATTTCCATTCCCAAAGAAAGCTCCTACAGAATCCTGCCCCTCCAGCACATACCTTAAATTGGTTAATGTACTTTCTTGTATGGCCCAGATGATTTTCAGACTGCTCCCTCTGAACAATTGAAATTGCGTATGGGGTCTGTAAGAATGGAGTCTCCATGTCCTGTAGCCCTCTGGCTCTCCCAGAATTAAGCCCCACTGATTTTCAAGGCCAGACATTATGGAAGCTTGTCTTCCTGGTGCAGATACCCAAGGCAGAAGTTGCCCACTGTGGGGCTTGAACCCCTCACTCCTCAGGAAGGACCTCTACACCAGTGACATCCCTCCTGGTTGTGGGGCACTGCACTGGGTATTTGGTTCCTACCCCAACCACATCTCTGCCTTTATTACCCTTTGCAGTGTGGCTTTTTAAAATCTCTTCAGCTGCTAGTTTTCAGGGCATTCACAGAGTTGCTTTATATGTAGTTGCAGCTTTGGTGTGTCCATGGGAGGAGGTGAGCTCAGGTATTTCCCTACTCCATTTTCCCATGAAATTAAAATAACCTTTGAATAGTAATCTTACCTATTTTGGCTCTCTTCCTTGCTTTACTCCTTTTTAAATGCTTCTCTTTTGAGGAATGGTAAATAAGATATGCAAATGGGAAGAGGGATAGAGAACAACAAGAACTTTTTTTTATGCTCTTATAGACTTACATGACATTGGTACTGAAATACTGTATTTTAATAGAGCTAAGCATGAGAATACCTTTCCCAAGCAATTAATACTAACTCTCAGAATAGACTCCAGATTAAGAAATTTTGTTCAGTAATATCTCCAGATATTTTTTTCTGATCCACATTTTCCTAGATGTAAATGTTTTTCTGATCCACATTTTCCTAGATGCTTGCTTTAAATCGCGTAACAACATCACACCCATTTATGACTGCAGCAGATATGATGGAGGCCCACCAGTTCTGTAGCATGGACTCTAAAGCAAATATCGTACATGGTGAGAAACTTGCTTGATTTGTTTTTTATAAGTTTATATAATGGAATTCTTTCAAAATTATGCTTGACATTGGGTATGATACAGACTACTTATATATCCATACAGCCTTTAACTCAGCCCTGCAAAAGGTATTATCACTCCCATTTAAAGTGAAGGAAACTTGATGCACCTCCCTTGCTACATTGAAAGTCCAGCTAACACTGTATTGCAGGATTCACATTGCATCGAGTACTAGTAAAGAGAGTTGGCTCTTAGCCAGTTTGGATTCACTATCCCTTTTAAGAATCTAATGAATTTTCTTCTGTCTAGAAAAAAAAAGAAACTTTTAGATATAATTTCCAAGAGTTTAGGACTTCTCTCAATATTCAAGGAAGCTGTGTGATTTAAAACATAATAATTGCCATTTCAGTTTATGTTTACTATGGGCTATAAGTGCTTGATGATATTGTCTCTCATCTCTATAAGTTTAAGAAGATCCATAGTTTGCGTATATGAAAGCTAAGCCCAAGAAGGGTGAGTAGCTTGCTTAGGATTGTATAAGTCATTGTGACTGAAACACATTTGAACCTCAGAGAGGTCTTGATCTCCTGCCACCCTTCAAAACAATGTCTTTCACTTTATCATTCTGTTGAGAGGACAGTTATTTCAATCTTCTGGATCAGTGAGAAAACTACAACTCATAATTTGTTTCCCTTTTACTATAGGTCTGTCAGTCTTGGAAATCTGTCTTATAATAGCGATGAAACATTTAAATGACATCTATGAAGAGGAGCCCTTTAATTTTCAAATGGTCTATAATGGTGAGATGAGATGTTGGTAGTTTTTTTCTGACTCTACTTCACTGCTTATTTTAAGGTGTTAATGTTGTTGTTGCTTTCTGTACAGAGTTTCAGAAGTTTGTTCAAAGGAAGGCCCATTCTGTTTATAATTTTGAGAAACCTGTTGTCATGAAGGTAAGATTCAAGAAGTTCATAGTTATTTTTCTGCTGTCAGGTATATTTTTGTATCATTTGATTGTATATATCATAGTTACTCTCTTATTAATTTGGAAACATTAGGTATTTGCCATATGATCTTTTTTTTTTTTTTTTTTTTTTTTGCATAACAGACCAAAATGATCTCAAAATGAAATGTTTGAATTCTGAAGAAAGCAGCCAATGGTTTCCCAGTTTGTGGGAATATACTGCCCTCTACTGTCTGTTTCTAGCACTGCATCTTGCAAAGAACTATATATTGCAGTTCATCAAATGCATCAATAAAACTCTGTCCCTTTACAATCCAAGGGTTGGATTTGTAATCTTAGCAGTAGAAAGACAAAAATGCAGATATTAGCCATTAAGAAACTAAAGGACAAAATTTCATGGGATAGTGAGGACATACTAAGTGTTATTAGGAGTTGGAGTAAGTTTTAAAACTTGAGGAACTTTATTAGAGCATTCCATTGTCCACCAGAAATACATGACTCACAGTGTAATTTTGGATTTTCTAGTAGCAACAAAAATGTTAAAAAGGTGAAATTAATTTTAATTATAAATTTTATTTAACCTAATATATGAAAATATTTTAACCTATTATCAGTGTAGAAGATTATTAATAAACTATTTTTATGTTTTCTTAGGTATTACATTTTAAAAATTTCATGTGTGTTTACACTTAAAACACATCTTAGTTCACTAAATATGCATTGGAAATACTTGCTCTTTAGATTGCTTAAAATTTGTAGCTGAAGTAGATTTATATTCTGAAATTGTTCCAAACTTAAAATTTTCTAATCAACTTGACTATCAAATTTTAAATTAAACTTAATTACATGATTTAATTTAAAAAAATTCAAAACCAAGTTCCACAAATAGCAGTAGCCCTGTGTGGTTACCTTACTGGACAATGCAGCTCTAAAGGACTTTCTGCGAAAAAGCATTTTTTTCTCTTTTTTTAAAATATGTGTGTGTGTGTGTGTGTGGTATTATTATTGTGTGCCCATATATATATATATATATATATATATATTTTTTTAACATTTATTTATTTTTAGAGAGGGTGTTCGTTGAGGAGGAATAGAGAGAGAGAGGGAGACAGGGAATCCAAAGCAGGCTCCAGACTCTGAGCTGTCAGCACAGAGCCCTACATGGGGCTTGAACCCACAAACTGTGAGATCATGACCTGAGCCCAAGTCGGACACTTAACTGACTGAGCCACCCGGGTACCCCTTGTTTGTTTGTTTTTTTAAAAGCAGTGGACCCGTAAGTCTTTTATCATTCTTAGTGGTCAGAATTTTATTTCTTCTACCAGCTAAAAAATGTGATTACAGAGCATTGCCATTTCTTCAAAACAACAGAAAAAGTGTGTTTAGCCTACGGAGGTTGGTTTTCCCCCCTTTCTAATGTCCATGTTTGTGTGATAGTTTTCTGTGAGTAGAAAAGGTTACGTGAACATTTAAATTCTTATGAGCAGTTTTGTAGCTGCTTGTTTCTACATTTTAAATAAAATATTTGCTGCCTAGAAATATTTTAGCTCTCAATTTTATTCAGCCCCAATAATGCCTGCAGCCGATATTTTCTCATTTTCAGAAATGCTGGTGTCTATTTTTCTTTTCATTGGAAGAATTCTTATGATACATAAAGTATATATTTGATATTTTTTCACAATAGAATAGAAATAGAAAGTTCCAGAATCTTTTTCAATGTGTCAGTATTTAATGGTTAGTAGTCATTAATGGTTTCTTTTTCTTCATACACTAATAAAATACCTAAAACAATAATCAGGGTGAGAAAAGACATAATACATGAATGTTAGAGGTGAGATGAAACAGTAGACAACACTATTAGAGGGAAAGGTGGAAGAAAGGGACTTTTTTACAGGTTATGGTATCAGATGTTGGGTTTTTAGAGAGAACTAAAAGCCCTTCCTTTATCTTAAGTACTATTAGGTGTTAGATATCGAATGAGGTTTGGAAGAAAAACCATATTGTGCAGAGTGAATTAGAGTTTGCCCTGTTCGCATTCAACAGTTCAGGGACAGAACTGTATATTTGACTCTGCTTCACCAGATACATGGAGTTTTTATGAGGTTGATGAGAGTTGTTTTGAACCCTACTGATTTCTATTAAGTTTTGTTTCCTGGTACTCTGTTCTACAACTGACCACAAACCTAATTGTTTACTGGATTAATGTTGTTATTTTGCTTCCTCTATTCAACTTACACTGTTTCTTTCATCTTTCAGGCTTTTGAACACTTACAACAATTAGAATTAATAAGGCCCATGGAAAGAACTTCAGTAAATACACAGAGAGAGTACCAGCTGATGAAACTACTTTTGGATAATACTCAAATTATGAATGCTTTGCAGAAATACCCCAACTGTCCTACAGATGTTAGGCAGTGGGCAACATCCTCACTAAGCTGGTTATGAACATAACCAGTGGCTTCACTTATGGAGTTTCAGGCATACTTCTCTAAGGAACTAAAAGCTATTGTCCTTTAACAAGATATGTTATTACATTTTCTTATATTTATAAAACTGTATTTTTGTATTTATGGGAGACTGTTATACATGTAGGTCTTGGCTGTGTCTTGCCTTTGAATCATGAACAGTTACATGATTTATAATTCCAGTGGTTTAGATTATATTGTAAGAGTTCAAAGAAATAAATGTGACTGTTTTAGGAAATGAACCATATGCTTATTTAACACTTGTCAAGTATTTATGTGGCATATATATTTGAATAGTTCGTTCCAACCCAGCAGCCAAGTGTTTTTCACAAACCCTAAAGCAGTAAAGAAACAATGGTAAGAGTTGTGGTGTAATGATGAGTAATCTTTTTATCCAATGGGAAGTGCTGCATTGTTTTTCTCTGTCCATGGAATTTTTGGTTTCTATCCCAGACCCAGGTTTTCTAGCTCAGGATACTGACCAGTTTGGCCATAAGATGGTTCACATGGAAGAGAAAAGAGAAAAGTTTGAACATTTTCTTCCAGGCTTCTCAAAAGTGGTACTTACATCATTTATAGAAGAATGCCTTGTAGAATTTTTTTTACCAGGCATATTCTTGCACCTGTCATAGGCCCAAAGGATCCGAATTTAGAATGTGTCTTTTTAATAGGGACTTTAGGATATGCCTGGAAAAACATTCTCACAATTAATGGGAAGTGCTTGGCACTATCAGGTAAATATATTTGTATCAAAAATCCCTAAAGCGAATGCGGAGAATGCTTACCTCATAAATTCAGGAGTCCAGGAATTAATACAGGTATATGTTTAAAATGAAATTTAGTAAGTTAGTGACTTCCTTTATTCAAGAATATTTAATTGCCTATTGTTTTCATGGAAGGTTTACAGTAGACAGTCCATATGCTTGTGTAGTTCATAAACCTTTTAAAATATCAAACGCCCTATGATATTCCGGTTCTGTTAAGAAAACATGGTAGTGGCAGTGTTCAGAATCACAGAGGTAGAGAATGATGGACAGATCCTGGAATTCAACTCAGGTTTGACTGACACCAAAGCCCTGCCATCAAGAGCTAAAATGCATTAACAAGTTTTGGCACGTATTTTTTAAAGTACGCTGTAAGAAATGACTTATCTGGTTTTTAAGAAATAGCAGATGAAGAATGGAATGTAAGATTTCTGTGCATAAAAGTAGCTCTTCAGTTCAACCTATTTTTTTGCAGACATAGCTGGTCCTTCCCTGCCTTCTCAGTCTTCAGATCACTGTCATTTACTTTTCAGCAGTGTCTCAGTAAAGGTAAGGCTTGCATACTGGTTCTACGCAATAGTCTACAGATTTTTAGGAGATATTTTGCCAAAATACTTAGCATGGTAGCATCACTATTAACTAGAAGCAAGGATTTTTCACTTGAGCTTAAGTTTTCCCTTTAAGAAAAATTTCTGAACTATTTTAGGGAAGTATTATCTGCCTTAAAGGCACTCATTGTGAAAGAAAGCACCTAAAGAACTTGATTTGAAGATTGCAAATTACTAGCTTTTTTAACATGCCACTAAAAGGCTGGAAGCTCTCATCTGCCTTCCTGGATACATAAGACCTACAGAAGCTCCATCAACATCCAGGTATACAAATTATATATTTATATATATAACATATATATTATACATCATTCTCAGTGAAACAGTTCTTAAAAGCAAATTAGAAAAAAAAAAATGTTAGCAAAGGTCATACAAATAAAACATATGCCTACGTTAGAAAGGAATTGAGAGGAGGAGTGTTGATGTTCCCCTTTCTGTATTCCCTAATACAAAGAAGCTAAGATGTACTGGGAAAAACATTAAGGTCCATCTCTTAAATTGCTTAAAACATCATCAAAAAAATCTGAAAAGCTTTAGTGAACAATTTTTAAGAATATTAACAAATAAGGCTTAAGGATATTTTCTTCATGTACTAGAGTCATGTAGCCTTTTAACAGCACAAAAATACATGAGCTCCATGGGTCATCAGATTGGAAAACAGGTGGGGAAGAGTTTTAGAGGCCTCAGTGTGATCCCTACAGTGCCCTATCCGAAACAGGATCTTATTCAAAACAAAACACCTCTCCAGTTCACGCGCACATGCTTGTGAATGGCTCTGAGGAATTAAAACCTGTTGGTCCAAACTTAGTATATCATAATGCTATGTATGTTGAGTATATATCATCTATCAACTTTTGAATCAGTTTGGGAGAATACGCTGTGGAAAATAATTTCAATCTTTCGGTAGAGATTCAGTGCATATTCCACCATAGTTTGCATTTTCATTCGGTTTAGAAGGCAGTGCAGGTTGTTTCAAACCACCATTACTTAAATGTCCTTTCCTTCACCTTTACCCTCAAAAATACTGAGAACTCATTGGACTGAACTGTGACACTCAGTGCTACAATTTGGTGCTTTCTATTTCCCTTTCCTTTGAAAGCCACAGGATAAACAAAAGCCTTGGTAACAAAAATGTCAAAGCTAGCTTGACAATTACTCTTACTGATTGATTACCCTAAGTGAAAATGCCAGAATTCTTTCATGCAGTAGAATGGATATACCCTTAGGAAGTGTAGTTTGTATCTTTGATGATTATTTCTTAAGCCACATTTTTCTGTTTCTATATAACCAATGCGAGCTAGCCTCTGGTTTCCTAAAACTGGCAGGACCAACATACAAACTTTCGTGGGAATGCCGTCTGCTTAGACAATAAAGGAGGGAAATGCCACCCTTGATAAACTTGCCTTCTTTCACCACTATCTCCATTCTTGCATATCTCAAGGTGTGAGCCTCACCATATTACAGAGCTACTTTTCCCCTCTTTAAGAATAATGTAGGGGCGCCTGGGTGGCTCAGTTGGTTAAGCATCTGACTTCAGCTCAGGTCATGATCTCACAGCTTGTGAGTTTGAGCCCCCCCCCCCCCCCCCCCCCCCCCCCCGTTGGGCTCTGCTGATATAGCTCAGAATCTGGAGCTGCTTCAGATTCTGTGTCTCCTTCTCTCTCTGCCCCTCCCCCGCGAGCACTCTTGTCTCTCTTAAAAACAAAACAAAAAGAATGTATAGCAAAAGGAAAACTGCATAAGCAAATAATACGATATTCATTTTTTTTTTTTTTATTTAACTCGGGGATGGAATGGGGATAGCATACATTTTATTTGTACAATATTTAACAATCACTTATCCAAGGTGGGGTTTTATGGGGCTTTTTTTTTTTTTTTTTAGCTTTTTGTTAAATACTTGCAGAAAAAAATAGCAAGTACAATTTGACAGTAGTACAACAACCTGTGCCCAAAACACTGACAAGAAATACAGAGTAAAGCTAAAATAATTGCTTACCAATATTTTGAGAGGTAACAAATAGGATATGGATTGAGACTGCATAAAAAATGTACTGCTGGTTGAATATCTGAGGTAAATGATGTTCAATCAAGATGCTACTTGTATCATTTTGCCCATAAATCAGTAAATAATTTTATGCACATTATACCAAATGTTTCTAAAAAGTAATTTTTTAAAAAGGTAAAAAAGAGAAACTGGAAAATATTTGTGGAGAAGCATTTTTTCTAAAATAGTAATCAGTTTAATTCCACTTAAACTATCATCTGGCCAGGGTTTTTTCCCCTACCCACCTGCATTTTACTTAAATGTAGCTGTTACTTAGGGTTGAGGAAAGGAGGAAGAAGAGGTTCTTTTTAAATTTGATGACAGATGATTCTACTTTAAATTCCAAACTCCTTTTGTTTTGTTTTCCTGATTGTATTTTTAAAACATCACCATGAAAGATAGTGCAAGTTCATGGGACCAACAATTGTGAGGCACAGTCTCTGTTCTGGAATTCACAAGGTACCTGTAATAAACATTCAAACGAGAGTCACACTTCACATGCTAAAAACTTCCTAGCATCTAAAATACATACAAGAGCTGTGCAGGGCATAGACTTCGAATAAAGCCAAACACTGGTTAATCCATCAGTCCTATGGCAGTTGATCATAAAGCATTCCTTACGCGGAGATTTGGGCAAGGTTAAAGAGTGGAAGAGCAGCAGTTCTGATGGGTATCAGAAAGGCAAAATACAAGACAAATCATAAAGAGCACCATACACATGAGGAAAAAAATATTGGGGTCTCAGTTCACCCCAAAACAAAGAAGTCATCGTTTTTCTCATTCTTGGATCTATTTTTCAGTATCCCTAGCTCAAACCTTTTGTAAGCTTGCCCACTCTGCGCTGACTGTAAACCTAACATGAAAATGCCCTGCAAAAGAAAGTTTTAACAAGACTAGGTATCAGGACAGGTAGTCACTGGAACATTCTTATTTTACTGCTTATAAAAAGTGTTTTTCTATTAATATAGTTTTCAAAAGGATACAAGTTTTAAAGTTGGTTAGCTAGAGTTAAGTATAATACCCAGGATTTCTAAAAATGTTTTCTAACATGAAGAGAAAATAACTGATCTTATAAAATTTATCTCAAGTGCTCACATAAGCCAAACATTCATCATAATATTCCTTGTTTTTGTTTTGATTTGTTTTTTTTTACTCTTAAAAATAGAATTAAATGTTTAGAACAGGTAGAAATTGGTCTTCAGGAGATTGACAGTTTCCATGTTATGAACATTGTCATTTTCCCATCTTGGTAAGTTTCAAAGTGGAAGTAAAACGAAATCAAGAAATTGAGATGTCAAGTACTTTTTGAAATAAAGAGGTGAAACTCAACATTGAAATGGGAATTCTTAGGAATACAATGAAAACTTGGGTATATATGTGACCCAAGAGCACAAAATTCTGTATGGTGTGTGGCACACAGACAACAATGCTATTACTCTTCTTTCCCTCCCTGCTTAGAGTCTGTTGACCTATGCATTATCTATAAATAATATAATTTATTACTCCCAGAGATTAAGTGCACATTATATGTAAAACGTAGTGTACTGTGTGGTTAAATAGCCATTTGAAGATAATACATTCACAGTGAGCTCCTGATAGTGACATGTAAAAAATTCTTGTATAAAATTAATGTATGGATTTTTAAATGACCTGACAAAAGTACATAGCATAATACTGGCTATTTGTTGGTCAGTAATCTAGAAATTCAGGAAATTAATGTTTTACTTTGGCCTGTATAAATTTGAGGAAGAATCCAATTATATTCTAATGTAATAGTGTTTTTAAAAGCACTTTGGCACCTACCTACCATCAGTTCCATTTTCTTATCAAGGAAACTATTCTAAATATCATAGTTGTGAAAGCAATTTATGGGAAGAGGCTAGGTTATATTACCTATATCAACATCGGTTACCTCTAAATGTCATTGCATATTTTAAGTTTGTAAGTTTAACTTGTTATCCCTGATTTTTTTTTTTTTTTAAAGCAGTAACATCTGAAATCTGTGCTTAAAATTTAAAACCTCTATCCTAGGATAATTCTTCATGTATCACAGACATCAAATATTACTCTGACAAGATGGCACCAAGCAGAAATATAGTGATAAAGTTACAAGTCTCAAAGCAGAGAGTGAGGAATTCTGGGTAATGACACTTCCTGAGGTGATCCTTAAACAGTGATAAAGAATGTCCCACACACTGTTTGGTGAAAAGAAATACACTACAATTTTACATATATAAATAGGAAAAAAATCTATTTTAAAAGAATAAAAATGAAGAGCTTTCCAGTGTCACAGCTCACTTTAAAAAATTTAAATCATGCTTTAAATTTTCAAATATTCCCCAAACACAGCACACCTTAAAAAAAAAAAAAAATACTTAGGTAAGTATGCAATAATTTGGGAACTGGATAGAAGATGAAGCTTTAAAACATGGGAAGAAGGGGGAAATGACATCATTTTTTCATTTCAAAAAACAGCACTTTTTTTTCCTTAAATTACAAGCTAGCACAAGAAAAGCTAAAACACTGCTTTACAAATGGCCACTTAGTGTTGGCACTAAGCATAGCTTACCTTTTTTTCTTAAATAACACAGTGAATTTGTAATACCTTGTTAGAAAACATGGATCAATTTATTATTCAAATTTCGTTAGTGTTTTCAATTTTTATAATTTAGCAACCGTGGAACTGAGGTATACCTTGTTGAGGGAGGTTAAAGTAATGCTTGGAAGCCTCTTTACTGTACCCCACTTTGATGACTTTGTTTATGTACACAGAACAGCAGCACACTAAACATTCACAAGCTGTGTCATATTGGCATTACAATAGTCATTTATAGAAACACAACAGCAAATGCAATAAAAACAAGTTACCCTTTTTAAAATCTGAAATGAAAAGTTTTTGATTTAAAAAAAAAAATAGCAGTAGTTCATTTAAGGAATTAGTGTCTTCTGACAGACATTAAGAAATCCAATGTCAGTTTTCAAACACTTGATTAGCCAGGTCCAAAAGATCCTTGATTTGGAGAGGGCCATGTTCTTCATGTACACTTTTTCAAAAGTTTCTTTAGAGTCTGCAACTTTTCTTAGTCTCACGTCCTTCACGTCTCTGCTGCAGGCAATGCTGTACGTCTCCCAGAGCCACATTTTCAAATGAGGGTCATCTTGACGTGTCCGGGAGACATCCTACGCATTTCTCACAGAAAATAAACTGTAAGCAGTTTCGTTAGCTTAGCAGCTCCAGTTCAGAGTCCTGTTTCTCAGTGTGTACACATGGTGCAACCATCATAGACTAGATTCTTTGGGAGGAAAGTCAACATTTGTCACCATCGTGACCACTGTTACAATGTCCTCTGTAGTAATGATATTTGTAAGTCTTTGCATCTGAGTAATTCTTTCACCTACACATCCAGCTGATAACCTGGCTTCTGCATCGTGATCCCAACATTCTTCTATCGTTTCACAGAGCATTGCCATTCCCTAAAAAGGAAAAACATACACACAAAATTTGTTTTCTAACAGTAAACAGTAATTTCTAACAGCAAACAGTAATATTTCCAAAAAGAAATTGCTATTTTTGTGAGTCAAAGAAAGTTCAAGATTAGCCAAGTTTGATATTATTTCTCAACATCCACTTATGAATATCTATTATATGCAGGAAACCGAAGGAAAGCATTAAAAAAATCAAACTTCTTAACAATGGAGACTATCACAGCAGGTAATTAGGTATTTTTAATTCAAAAAATCCCTATCCATTGCTTATAAACCAGGTCAATTTGATGCTAACCCTTGAACTGGATTCAAAACTAAGGTGTATTTTTTTAAACCAATTTTTGTTGTTTTCTTAATATCAGCATTTCTGTCTTGTAGTTAAATAGAAAAAAAATATTAGAAAAACATCCTCGAGATACTCTACCTGATTTTATCGACGTTTCCAGTTATATTTGGACCAAAATAACGAGGGCAATACTGTTCTATTCTGCACCTATCTAAGTCTCTAGTTTTAGAGCATTCTTAACCTGAATATATCCCAATCCCAAATCAAAACATGGAGAGCAGAAAACGGCTTCCCTTTTAAATCTAGCATTAGGTGGTGATCATCAAGGTTACCCCAGTATCCACACGCTCAGTGTCAGGTACTCCTTCCCCCTGGGAAGCTTTCCAAATAGGATACAAACTCGTAGGACCACAGCAATGAGAGCCGCCTTAGGCTCTATGACTTTACCGTCTTCCCTCATAGCTCTAAAATTCTCTTGTTTCCAGAACTCTAGATAGAATATCCTGTATGAATATAACCTCCCCAGAAAATCCTCCCAGAAGAAAAGTGTGCAGAGATAGAAATCATTCTCTGAAAAGCATTTTACTGGAATTTCAAATGAAAAGCTACCGTATAACTTACAGCATGTTTCTGCCAATAATCTCTTAAAACAGGCCTCTTTTTTTTATGCACAACAACTTCCTGCATATCTTCAAGAGATGGATGCTGGCCAATTTCCTCCTCAAATGGCAACATGTATTCATCTACAGGTCCTGAAATGTAAAGAAAAAAAGTCATTTTAATTCAAATCTTCCTGACTTCCAAACTGGAACAAATTTTCTGAAACATACTCTGTATCACCTTTTCCCAACTGTTAACATGCTATAATGACAGGAGAGAAACAGACTCAACTACTGCCACAGTTTGACCCAAATGCTAATTTAGGAGAAATCAAAAACTCCGTGATTTGGCATGTAAACCTGCTAAGGATTCCTTAAAGGAGCTTTCTTATCTACGGAATGAGGAATGCCAATCTCCATATGTATATAGGACAAAGGGAACTTCCCCATCAATATTTGCAAATCAAGGCTATAATGTCCCTTTAAGGTACTTCTTACAATTCAAATCAGATGGGTAAACAGTGGCGCTTCCATTTCTGACAATTTGGGGCAATGTCTTGTAACAATCTTTACTCTGTGACACACCCTAACCGCCCCTTCCCCCGCCCCCCCGCCCCCCCCACACTCCGCCTGCACAACTATGTACCTGAGAGTCACACCTCTTTGCCCTCAAAAGAGCTGCCAAGAATAGTTTTTAAAAAATCACAAACATACTCTCCAAATAGGGTTCCCAACCAGTCTTCAGAATGTGCCTTCACAGATGATTTATTCAACAAAATAAACAGTTCCTTTTAGGCATACTCAAATAGGAAAATGCAGTTACGAATTAATAATCTTATAAGCACTTATCCTAAATAGGAACTTCACATATGTCATTTACTTACATTTTACCTCTATGCAGTGAAGGGAGCATTACCTCTATTTTACAGATAGGAAAGAAGCTCGGAAAAGTTCATGATTTACACAAGAGCATTCAGTGGTGGAGCTGGAATTTGAATCCACCATTTGATGGAGTCATCTCTGCATGACTCCAAAGTCTGTGCTTTCAATCACTACTACTGACCTGCCCTTGAAGGAAACCAGTCACTGAAGAGCAATTTCCTATATAGACCTAAACCTTGTAACAGATACTCCTGGAGAGAAGAAGGCCAACTAACATCTAACTCCACCCTGTCTATATGGAAGACTCCTCCCTCAATGCCTGGAGGGCCCGTGTCTGCTTGAGTGCTTCCAATGCCTCAGAGTATTGGCATTCTAGAGGGTCTATTCTGCTCCTGCTACAGTCCACAGGTCAGCAGCACTGGCACCAACTAGTAGCTTGTAAGAAATGTAAATAGCAGGCTCCAGCCCAGACCTACTGAGTCAGAACATGAACTTTACCAGGAGTTCAGTACATATTAAAGTCTGAGAGTTGCTGATTTTAAAGTTTACAGCACTCACTTTAGCAGTGTTCACACCATCCCCTCCTGCCCCATTTCAGACTTAGCCTGAATCTAAGTATTTCATAGCACATGCAAAAGCATTTAAGAAGTGTCAGCATCTGCCCTTTTCATTTTTCATAAAAACTTCTCTGATAACCCCTCTACCCGGAAAAAAAGCATTTTTCATTCCTCTAAACTCCCATATCACTCCTTTACATTTCTCAGGTATTATATTCATCCAAAATAACTCCCTGGATATGTACGTACTGAGCATGGAGCTGGACCGTTCACACTTACCTTACTCTAGAGTTAATTGTCCAGGGTATATTTTATCCCTGTAATTAGACTGCACATTACTTAAGGGCAGGGCCTTGTACATCCCCCATAACACCGTATCTAATGGTTTGATTTGGAGTGTTCATATTATTAAAGTTCTTATGAAATATATTTTCCTAGAGTATCTGCCATCCAACCTACTTCTGCTTCTATAAATGCACATAATAAACATACCTCCTCTTCCACTTTGAGCCAACCTACACTGAACGTTCAAGCTTACTCTTCCTTGCATAGAACTTCTAAGCTAGAATTATATCCAAATTGCTTCAAACTTTCTTAGGTCTGGATCAACTCCCATGCCAAACCCCTGATCTTAAAAGAATGAATGGCTGTCCATTCCTGAGCACTCTACCAAGTTCCCCTTAAAAGCACAGTACCCCAGTGGCACCTGGGTGGCTCAGTCGGTTAAGCATCCAACTTTGGCTCAGGTCATGATCTCAGTCTGTGGGTTTGAGCCCCACGTCAGGCTCTGTGCTGACAGCTCAGCACCTGGAGCCTGCTTTGGATTTTGTGTCTCCCCCTCTCTCTGCCTCTTCCCTGCTCCCACTCTGTCTCTCAAAAATGAATAAACGTTTAAAAATAATTAAAAAAAAAACAATGCAGTACCCCAGATCAAATTTCATGTACCAGAGGTAGTCTGTCCTACACTGAGAAACCATTAAAGCACTCGGAAAATATTCTTACAAACACAGGTTAAGTTAGTTTAAGTACTCTACAGTTTCTTCTATGGTCTTTCACAATCTGCAGGAAGTTTTTAGGTAATTATAAATTTAAAAAGATCAAGCTAATTTACATTTGTCAAGATGTTTGCCTTGTATCTGCACAACCAAAAGAAAGTGCTGTAACACAATTGAAGAGAATAGAGGCCTTATGAGAAGAACTAAGGACTAATTTTCTCACACCAGGAATATAGTATGCAAGTTTATAATCAATCAGTGCAAATATTTATAAGACTTGAACAAGGATTTAAATAACAAAAACAAAGAATAGGAATCCTTTAGAATCAGTGTGATAGAGAATGCAGCTGGTGTTCACAATAATGTCTACATCAGCTCAGACTTTCAATGCTTTTAGGAGGCAGAATTTAACCTATGGTATATCCAAAGGCATGCTCAATTCTGTCATGGAGGACAGACTGTAAATTCCATCTGGTTAGGTATATTTTGGGCATCATGGGAGTGATGAACAGACTCAGCTGTGAGTGACTTGGGACGGAAAATCCCCCAGCTCTTCTTCATCCATCTCCTCTTGCCATGAAACTTGACTTTGGAACCTGAGGGCAGGCAGGACCTGCAGGACCTACAAAAGTAGCAGCCCTGTCCCTACATCTGGATCAGAGTTTCAAATCTAGGTTTTACCATGTACCACCTTGAAGCTAAAACTGACAATCTGCTTAATTTCTACTTAAAATTTGAGACTCAAATTGTTCACTGGTAAAACTAAGATAGTAACTACCTCCAAAGTCGTTTTAGGAAATAAGCTAGACATATGTGAAGTGCCCGGCAAAACACCTGGCAATGGTAAAGATCAATACATATCAATCAATACCTTCCCTCTCCAGCCTGCCCTCATCCCCTGCCTCCTGAATTCTCTTTAAGCTACTGGAGACCTGGAGTCTACCTAAAAAAAAATTTTGTACTTTAACATAATACCTTGAGTGTAATCATCCCTTTTCGTACATGTGTAGTAGGCAGTAGGCATATCTTTTTAAAAAATATTTTTTCCCTTACCATCTGCAGCAGTACAGCGAGAAGCCAGTTCCCACAGGACTAATCCCATGGCGTACATATCTATCCTCAAAAATGCATCCCTTTGGAAGTTTATAGCACCCTCTAATACCTCTGGAGCCATATACCTCCGGGTACCAACCTGAAAAAGATGTTGAAAGCAAACAGTACTTATTCATTAACTTTATGAACTAGTATTTTATGATTCTGTAAAGAGAAACAAAACCAAGCATGGTCTGCTATCAGGTAAGGTAACTAAATTATGACCACCAGACTACAGAGTCCAGCAGAATTTTACTCCGTTTCAACTAGTAACAGCCAAGACACTGGAAGTGGGAAGTTTCCATCAGTAGGGATTGCTTTAACAGTACCATGCAGCTCTTAAAAAATGTGGGGGTAAACCTGGACTGATAAGGAAAGATTCCCAAAAACACTGTACAGCAAGGAACAAAACAGTATATATGCTAAGATCCTTTCTGGGCATACTTAATAAATACATCAGCAGACATGCTGGATGTTGGCTTAGAATTTTTCCCCCTTCTGGAAGTAATCACAAAAACACTGGTGGTTTTGTTGGAGACAAGGACAAGAAAAACTACTTTTCAGTTGTCCTTCTGATTCCTGTTTGAAATGTGTCTTTAAAAAAAAATACTCCTTTTTGAGGGTTTCTCTTTCTCTGTTAAAAAAAAAAAACAAACAAAAAAACTAGTATATAACAAAAAGAATTAGCCAAGTAAAGGATGGATAAACTTTCTAAAGTTCTATTTCTATAAAGTCTATAATATTTATTTATTCATGAATTCTGTCTTGGCATTCTTTATTTATATCTGTCCCTAACAATTTGGTATTTCTTAGTAATGTAACTATGGTTACCAAGCTACTATTGCTTGCTTTGGTTGACAGTATTCATATATGAATGCTTAAAAATTTTGTAAGATAGCTGGGTGGATCACAATCTAATTGAGTTTTTGTAGATCTAGGGAGTAGCCCAGATAATGGGTTCCAAAAAGCTCTATCCTTAGGTGACTGATCTCTAGACTAGAAGTTAGATGATTATCTGCAAATACACATATAATTGAAGTGTTTAAAAAAAAAAAAAAAAAGGAAATAGATCACTAAGACTCCCAAGTTCAGGTTTTTAATTCATTTAATAAGGAGAATGCTTTAGAGAAAGAAAAAAAATAGCAGCTCTGTTTTGCTACTCTGAGTAACTATTTAATTGTACTAGGAGCAAGGATTTCTGAACACCTCCTAAAGATAAATGTATGCCATCCAAAGTAGTTTTCTTATGAAATGACAACTACCTTCAAGCATAAAATGTCCTCTTTTATGAATTAATAAGATAAAAATCTTATTTTTCTCCAGCATTCTTTGAGTATATAAAATGTACAATAAAGTGTATTTGAAATTTTCTGGTCCATGAAATATAAAGTCAAGGGAATCACTTATGTAATTATTTTTCCTTCTCATGTAAACCAGTTGAGAGGGCAGTAAAAGATATGAATGGGTCCCAAAATTATTTCATAAAAAAAGGAGGGGAGGGTTATGAGATGCCAGAGGATTAAAGTATTTCCCAATTTCAGTTTTATGATAATCACACCATCAGCTCAGACGTTTGTCCCTAGGCCTCCTGCACAATCTCCCATCTCTGTAATCTACTCCACAAGACTGCCTTCGTTCCAAACACATCTGGTGTCAACTTTTCGAGAACTATGACTGCTGACCACTGCTCTAAACCAGATTCTTATATCATTACTCAATACTGCCAAAATTTGTTATGCGATGATTCTTTAATAACTATTCTTGGAGGTCAATATACTAGGAAAAATGAAAGCTGAGAATTTGATTACCAAATTATTTCCATGATTTGAAAGATGAAGAGATAATCATACCAACTTGGTAAGGAAATGTCACCTTTCAGGTTAAACTGGTCTTCTTAACAAAAAGGTGATCTTTTGGAGTGAAAGCACCTTTACTAACCTTACAGTTTCTGAGGATAAATGTATGGATAATGTTACTTTCCTATTTGGCTCTCTTAAAGATTCCTGTTGTTGACAGCTCTTTGTACAAGATCCTGACTAGACAGGCTCATTGCACAGGGCTTTGTAAGTGCTTTGAACTCTGGAGAGAATTCAGAGAAAAGCTAAGAAGTAATGAAGCACTAAAGACCAAGAACCAAGAAACTATCATTATTGTCTGGAAAAAAAAAACAGATAACAGATACACAGTAGCATGAATAGTGACTGATTATTCTGCCATTCCTCTTAGGATGATGAAGTTAACAAATTAAAACTACTGAGTTAATACTAAGAACTCCCTAAGAATTAGATTTAAATGTGCTGGATTCTAACTTGATTTGTTTTAAAAACAGAATCCCATGACATATGTGTCTAAATTGTTTTATGAACTGATCTAAACCACTGGAGCTCCTAACAGTCTTTCACCACATGAAAATGTCTTCCTCAGCAAATTTAACGTATTACTTTCTTTAAGAGAGTCATTCTGTATTAGATGCTGAAATAATAACCACACAATAATTTTAGAACAATTCAATCCAGATATGCCATTCTAAGAAAATATGGGACAAGATTATTCTTTCTTACAGTTTATAGTTATCATCCTTACCTGTCCATGGGTATCACCAGCAGACTTGCCAGCCTCAAATTTTAACGCCAACCCAAAGTCTGCAATGCAAGCTGTCAGGTTGTTTTTCAACAGCACATTTTTACTTTTGATGTCCCTTGCAAATAAAAAGACAAAGTATTCAAATTAATTTTAAACAAGTTATTTCTTAAAAATTTTCATTGAAATGGAGAAAGGAGTGTATACTATAGAAGTCTGATACACAGAAAAAAGGAGAGGGAGAAAAAGCTTAAGCAAATTCCCCCTATACCATGAAGTACACAAGTAGAGTGACAAACTCATTTTTCATAACATGGACAGTAAGGAACTTTCTCCATGAAGTAGTTTTTTAAAGAGCTGCTATTCTAAAAATACTGTCTAGGTCATTCCTTCCTACCTACCTACCAAACATAAAATTGTTTTTTGAGGTAATAAGAATATTTCAGAGTTTATAGTTGGAGAAATTCCCACTGAAACTGAAATTTAAGAAACCAAACAAAGAATATTCAAACAAAATGAACTGGCCTACTGGTACAGGCCTACATGTTAGAATGGTCCCTTAGCGGTTCTTATATTCATAAGCTTTGTTGTAGAAAAAAGCATCTTTAAGAATATGTAACTCTCTAAGAATGTGTAACAGAAATTTTTCACCATAAACATAAACAGCTCCAGCTAGATCCTGGTGTTCTGAAGAGTAACCATTTTAAAACCATCAGGTATCTTCTTCTACACACTAGCTTCAAGGATTCATCCTAGAGATTACTATACTCTAGCTAAATACATCTATGCCATGAGCAGTGGTTAAATTTATGTGCCCAGACACAGAACGAACAGTGGAACACAGAAGGCAACAGGTACACACCCATGAATGCTATAAAAACCAATCAGTTTTCACCTCAGAAGATTTTTTGGAACCTTACTCCCAATAATCTTTGGGGATGCCAAAGAATGAATTCCCTATAGGCCTAGGTGAGGTAAGCAAAAACCCAGGAAGAGACCGACTATATGCAGGAAGGTGAGAAAAAAGGGGAGCTCTTTCTGAGGTGGAAGTTATTCAAGATTTGCAAAATCAGAAGCTATGCTAGAGTTGAATTAAAAGAAATGCCTCCCAGGAACCCAAAACACCCAACTGTTGGCCCTCAGCTAAGTATCTGTTAAATGAATCGGTTCATAACTACTTTTAAAGCAAATCTTTTTTGTTTCATTGAAGTATAGTGGACATGCAACATTACATTAGCTCCAAGCTTACCACACAGTTATTCAGGAAATCTATACATTCTGCTGTGCTCACCACAGTGCAGCTACCATGTGTCACCTACAACACCACTGACTATATTCCCTATGTTGTACCTTTTAACGCCATGACTTATTCCTTCCATACCTGGAAGCTTCTTGCCCATTCCCCTTTACCCATTTTGCCCATACCCCCCATCTCCCCTCCCCTCTGGCAACCATCAGTTTGTTCTCTGTATTTTTGGGTCTTTTTCCAAAGCAACTATCTTTAAATTGAATACAAGAAGACAAACTGATCCCATGTTTAAAGGAACTAACATTTTCCCTCTTGAAGGTATGACCATCGTTGGGTCCAACTACTATTGCTTCACTGATGAAGGCAATTGACTAAACCCAGTTATCCAAATGATGCCTCCTTCTACCTCAGCTCAGGTAGTGATCACATAGTCATTACAAACATAAGAAAAAAAAGTAACTCAAAGTCTCTCCATAATTATATCTAATAATTATCCTTGAAATAAATGTTTTGAGGCAAAACAAATTTCTTCCTTTGTGATAGATAAAATACATTTTCAATGTTATCCATGCTTTCAGAAATGAGACAAAACGTAAGTCAATAATTAAATTTTGCTAATGATATTAATATATACATTATCCAAAATACTTCCTAGCCAATCTCAAAGCCAATATGAAAAAGAAATGAAAATCAACTGCCTCCTATAGCATGGTTGGAGAATTAGGGGGAAAATAAATTTTCCACAAGATTATTAAAAATTTAAATAATAAATATTGACTTATTTGGGAAAACAGTATAAGTTTTAGCTCTACCTGTGAGATATGGCAGGTTTGTGGCCATCTTTTAGGCCAGGTATATCCTCATGTAAGTATGCCAATCCTCTTGCCATGGTTTCTGCAATATGACACAATTCGTTCCAAGAGACCACATTAGCCTTTAGAAAGTCTGACAGTGAACCCTAAAGAAAAGGGCGGGGGGGGAAAAACAACTTATGCTCTTGATAAAAGTCATATGACATGGAGACTTTACTTTTAAGAAATGATAGGAGGCAACATATCTTTACTTTTAGTGAATATTAACATCTAAAAATCCATTTTTCTGGAATGGTTCAAGTTTCCTCTTAGTAAACATTTGAGTAGGAAGGAATACCCCTAATCTTTAAAGTTTTGCTACAAGACACAGTCAACTTCCTCCTATTTAGAAGGCAGGAGTTAAAAAAAAAAAAAAAAGACTATTTGAAAATATAAGTTCAAGAAATATTTAAAAAGTTAAAATATACAGACTACAGAGATGTTACACCATAGGACTGGGAAACCCAAAATTAAGACCAATAAACTATGTCAGAATCTTCCTCTAAAGATTATTGCCATCCTTTTGGTCAAGAATTTAGGGAAGTATAAGAGCCACTTATATCTGACAGTGACGAAACTGACTGCCAAGGAGAACACAATTTCCTATTTCATTAAAATGTACTTTCACACTAAATCTGAAAGTAGAAAAATTGAGGAAAAATAGCAGGTATGTTTTAGTGATAACTACTCTACAAATCAGTGACAGAACAAAGATCATCAGATAAATCTCTTGCCTCTATTTTTGTCACAGGCTACACTGTGAGAAACAAAATTCAAGCTAAAAAATGGTCCGTGTAATAAAAATGGATCACGTATGGTAAATGAAAATTACTAAGCACTAGCTACACTGAAATAATTATTTGTGAGAGAGGTATAAAACTGCAGCACGAGAAATAAGGGACAGAAGACTGGTATTATGTAAGTAGAGGGTTAGGTGAAAAAGTTGCCATCTTTGCTCTTATATTATTTTTTTAAAAAATTTGTAAATATTAACTGTCTATAGTAACATACTGTTCCCAGAAAAATAAATCTGAGCGATTTGTGGCCAACATTAAGTAGGTAAGCCAACCCTGATCTGGAGTTAAAATGAAAAGTAGTTTTTACCTTTTCATGAAATGCTGTGATTAGCCAAAGGTCCACATCAACACTGGTGCCTCGTTTTTCTGCACCAATGAACTGTAATATGTTCTCATGTTTCATTCCAGGTAAACTATAAACTTCATATTCATTTTGCCATGACTGTTTGTCCTAGAGTTAAAAAGGAATGGTAAGAATGCAAAGAACACAGGCAAATAAACCATATCTAAGAGATAACTGAAGTAGATTCTAAGGCAAAATTTAAAAATAAAGCTGTGTGTTAAAAGACTCTTTGATTTCATCTTATTTTTTCATAAAAGAAATCTGACAATAAGGTAACAACTCCATCACAAATGCCTGCCCTGCCCCATTCGCTCAAACATTCTTTTTTGTGTTTCTTGCTTGTAAATATAGGAGTTAGAAATGCCATACTTCTGTATCTAACGATGGTAATACATTCTGCTTACAATTTAGTACTGTAGTGTAATTTTATCATGGTATGAAGTTACTTGTGTTTATTCAGAATAATCTCTGTAAGATATGAATTTCAGGTAGAACGACTTCATCTCAACAGAAGACAATGTTTTTGTTCAAAGACTAACATTATATCAAACATTCTTAACAAAATGTTGAGAATACCCCGCAAAGTCAATAGGAGAGCAATAGGGTATAAATAGGCAATACAATAATTTTAAATACTATACGCTCATTTGTGCCTGCAAGTGATCCATGCTTACTATATGTCTACTTATAAAGAATTAGTTTCTCTTCACAACAGAATAATAAAAGTTTGAGGCACCATAGCATAATGGTTAGGAACCCTCTGGATCCAAACTATGTTAAGAACCTTTGCCAAGTTACATCATCATTCAGTTACCTCATTAACAAAATGGAGACTATAGTGTCTGCCCACAGAGTTGTTGTATTATAGGTATACTGTATGCTTTATTCTATGTATGAGTACTGTATCGATACGTATTACAGAGTACACATATGTGAAGCACCTCTACCTGACACAACAGAAGCACTCAATAAAACATTAGCTACTGTTATTCTTGCTGTTGTTACCTTTATGTTAATATCCAAAGGCCTTTCTCTAATTTTTTTTTTAAGTTTATTTATTTTGAGAGAGCAGAGGAGAGGCAAAGACAGAGGGAGACAGAGGATCCCAAGCAGGCTCCACACTGTCAGTGCAGAGCCCAATGTGGGGCAAGAACCCACGAACCATGAGATCATGACCTGAACCAAAATCAAGAGTCGGATGCTCAACCGACTGAGCCACCCAGGCACCCCAGCCTTTCTCTCATTTTTAAGCTTCTTCCAACAATGAAAGAAGAACCCTGAATTTGTGAATATTAGCAGTACAGACCCAACTCTTCCTCTAAGAACTATAGTTTTAAAATATCTGCATTGCTACCAAAAAAAAAAAAAAAAAAAAAAAAAAAAAAAAAAAAAAGGTAAAAAACTTCTTCACCAACTCTAACAGGCTTTAGAGGAGGCAAGAAAGATAAAAGATAGGTATATTAATTTGACTGTATAACTTTGGAATAAGGAAGATCTGTGAAGATACAGTGGTGGAGCCTGCATCACCAAACCCAATCAGGATTGCAATACCACACATGGCATTAGCTAGAGGGGTGTATAAGCAAGAGACAAGGAAGAAGAAATCATCATAGATCGATACCACCAATGGAATAAAACAAAACATAAGAACAGCTCAGAGGTGCATTAGACCAGGGTTTTATGAGATAAGCCCCCTTTAAAAGAAAAATAAGTCGGGGTGCCTGCGTGGCTCAGTCAGCTGAGCGTCCAACTTTAACTCGGGTCATGATCTCACAATTCATGAGTTTGAGCCCCGCATCTGGCTCACTGCTGTCAGTGCAGAGCCCGCTTCAGATCCTCCATCCCCTTCTATTTCTGCCCCTCCCCTGGGTTCTTTCTCTCTCTCTCTTAAAAAAAAAAAAAAAGATTAATAAATACTTTAAAAATTAAAAAAAGGGAAAGAAAAACAAGTCCACAGTAAACCAATTACTGGGCATCCTGATTCACTGCCTCTGATAATTCACCAAACAAAATGAATCAGTCCGGGTAATAATACCTTTAAATAACTCTAAAACAAGCATGCTATTCTATCATTCTTCTGTTTGTTTTCTGATAATGTCAATGGGACATTAAAAGTTATCCAATGAAATTATATTATTGGAATCCTCATCTTCATTTTGCACTTCTGTAGAATTTTTATTGGCAAAAGATCTCCTGTGTGTTCATTTATTGTATTTCCACCACTCCAAAGACTACTGTACAATTCCATGCCTCAGATGAGAAGGCGAACAAAAGGGATAACCATTTTCCTCAGTATCACAAAGAACCACCTTGAAATATATGGTTTGTATTTTCAGACTGTTTCTGAATTATACTAATCGAGCCAGGTGTATCTTTTAAAAAATATGTGCAGATCAGAAAAATACAATAACATACCTGTATTGGAAATATTTTCACAGCTACATATTCATTGAGCAACTGGGCTTTCCAAACACAACCAAATCTTCCCCTTGCTTTCACTTCTAATAACTGTAGTGGCTTCAAACCTAGTAACGGAGAAGGTGGGGGTGGTCCTGGGTCCTAAGATAAACAATAATGATAATATTAAAAAGCAGCACACAATACATATCAATTCTAAATATGAGAAAAAAGGGAGTATACTGAGGAATCAATTGACAGAAATGGTAAACACATACAAATGACATTAACTTCAGTCTTGCCCAAACTGATTTCTCAAGCATTACTAATTATTTATAGTGATCATAAGGCAAGCCACTTGAATCAAGAGTTTTCATAATAACATTCAGTGAATAACATTCACTACTGCTACCTAAGTACAGCAGGAGAAATCTCAAATCATTTTTAGTCTCACTAATTTTCTGGACTAAGATTTTCTGTGACTTTTAGGATATTACTTAACAGTATTTCAATGGTTTCATCTAGTTGATACTTCATTAGAAGAGGAGGATTTTAAAAGTGCCAGCAACAGCAAGTTATGACTATGTCTCAAAGAAAAATACTCCTCAAAATCCACTACTTTCCCCAGTGACTGTTTATCTTTAATCTCAGAAATGCCCATAGTCCTTCTCAAACACATTGCAAATAAGTGTATCAAAGCACATAAGAGAAATATTTTGAATAGCCAAACTATTACGTTCATTCTGATTTTTCAACCTATTAGCAATTCATCCCTTTGCTTATAATTACCAAATTGACCAGAAATAAAAATTATTAGTGTTCTGAGTCTGACTGGCAAAGAAAGTACAAATTATAATCCAGAAAATGAGTGGTCACTGTAGTAGATGTACAAGGTAAGTAAAACGAAAGAGAAGAGTACTGCTACAGGTAATTTAAAAAATGGAGGAAATACAGTATGTGAACAGGAGCACAACATTTATGAAACACAAGGGAATCCTCCCTATACGAACTCCTCACTAGAAGCCTCGTATCAGTTCAAGATCTACAACTAAAACAAGATGTAGGAAGCCTTCAGAAAAGCTTCCAGAGCAAAGTAATAAAAATGTTTGAAAGGCTGCATAATGAGTATTGTAAGGAGGAACTAAAATTTCTGTGGCAACAGCAACAGACACTGTGACCCTGGATGGCATCTAAGTCGCTTGGAAAGAGTGTGCCATACCCTTATCCATGCAGCTCTCTTTCCCTTTCCTCTCAAGACAAAAATCTCTTCTAATGCCCTAAGACTGTCAGTGCTCCCTTTAGGTATTATTCAGCCTATTGGTGGCACTCAAGAATTTTAAAAGTTGACATCTACATTAGAAAGACCCTCAGAAAATAGAAACATTGCAAAGTATAAAAGAGGAAAAATGTACAATTTCACTGTGGGCAATCTTTATAACATGGCTTGAGAATTCCTATTTTAAAATAGGAGGATAAACTAGAATACTTCCTGTAACTAATTTCAACCTCAAATGTTTATTTTTAAAATGTCTACAAAAGCTGCTTTTCCTTCACACATTGAAAAGATGAAAGGTTATACAGTAGAGCTAAAGAGTGCTGCGGTTTCACAGAGTGAGGAGCCTAGGAAGTCAGATACAAATCTTAGAGAAGTATGGCCCCCAAAGTTACGATTCTCAGTGGGAGAGGACAGAAGAATCTATGGAGAGGTTTTATCAAAACTAAACCTACCCTACCTCATTTCTTGACTGGTCACTTATAACTGTAATAAGAGATTCTACTGAAAAAGAGTATGTTATTTACGTGGATGTGGAGACAGGAGAAAAAAAGGTTGAAAACTACTCTTGCGGAGGCAAGAGAAACCACTCATGTTCAAAATCCAAGAATTATTAGATAACTGCATAAACTAATTAACGTTAACAGAAAAATTTATGTTTGAAAAACTTTATAAGCATTTTTTTTTAATGTTTATTTATTCTTGAGATAGAGGAAGAGACAGAGCATGAGCAGGGGAGGGGCAGAGTGAGAGAGGGACACAGAATCCGAAGCAAGCTCCAGGCTCTGAGCTGTCAGCACAGAGCCCGATGCAGGGCTTGAACTCAGGAGCTGTGAGATCATCACCTGAGCTGAAGTTGGACGCTTAACCGACTGAGCCAACCAGGTGCCCGTGAAAAACTTTAAAATGACTATAAAGTTAAAATCAATGATTTCCCCCCTTCTTTAGAAATAAGTCAGAAACGTCAAGTTGTCAAAGCAGGGATAACAAAAACTAAAGTATGCAGATAAGAGCTGAAAGGTGAAGAGGCAAAATAACGAGGTAAAGAATAGAATCGCTCTTTAAACATTAAGATTTTGAATAACTTTAATATAAATTGATAATGTCTCTTGATAACATTCTATATTACCAATTCTGTTCTAAAGAGTACCAACCACACAGCTAGGATTTAGTCTATAAAACAGTATTGAGATGACTTAATCCACATCTCAAATTAAGAATATGTCAGCAATTCAAAATAATACTAACCTTAATTGTAGGAAACATGCAAGAACTCTCAATGTCTATACTTAGGGGGAAAAGATCACTGAATATTTTCTAAGTGCAAAGATAAACTTCAAGGTTCCCATAAGTTTCCAAGGTTTTGTTTGGCAAGTTCTAAGCTACCATTATTTCAGTGAAGCATCTTAGGTCACTCTCCCAATGACATTACCATTCTATTCAGTATTATATCATAACAACCTGAAAACAGACTGTTGTCAAAATTACTTATAAATAAAAAGCTTAAATTTAAGAACACTGGCAAATTTTTAAAGGGTGAGGAAAAGGTCTACAAAAACACATTCGTATAAAATCTCAAAACTTTTAGAAATGATACATGTGTTTTTAAATAATACTCTATAATACTTAAAAGTTGAGACTCAAAATGAGCTAATGAAGTACAGCTAACTGAATAAAATACATAGTGCCAAATCAATATGCCTTTTTGTTTTAATGAAAAATTACTAGAATATTCTATGTCATACTTTTCAACTCTTCATTAAATTTATAAGACGCTTTAACTGTATCTCTAATATTTGGCTTTTATTTATCCTATTATCTAAGAATATCAGAAATTATTTTCAGTTTATGAGCATCATTATACTAATTTACCCACCAAAAGTCAATGCAGTTCACGCTTGAACAACATGGGTTTGAACTTCAGCGGTCCACTTATTATGTTTCTTTTTTCTTCCAATAAATATAATGCAATGTATTTTCTCTTCCTTATGATTTTCTTAATAACATTTTTTTGTCTCTAACTTACTTTATTGTAATAATAAAGTAAGTATGTATATCAAACATACAACATACAAAATATATGTTAATCAATGGTTTGTGTTACCAGTCACAAAATTTAGTACTTTGATGGGGGTAAAAAGTTACATGCAGATTTGACCGTGTAGGGCGTCGGCACTCCCTTCACCCCGCATTGTTCAAGAGTCAACTGTACTTGATTCTAGGAATAAAAATTTATACCTTTAAAATATATCAACAACCCAAAGAGACAAATTCAGATTTAAACTTCATAATGACATCAACATTCTGATGTTATCCATAAAACATGTCTTCGCCCTGCTACACAGAAAACCACCTTTTAGGGAGCCATGGTAAGGTGTGCAGAATTCCTGAAAACTTGCCCTAAGTCTCTAGTTCTCTTGCAATAAATACCCATGCTACTTTGCACAGTTAAGAAGACATGTATTAGAACATAGCTCTGATTACATCTCTTCTTTACCCATTTGTATATGAAAATTATACAATTCTGGCATCAGAAGACCTCATGTTGAGAAACAACAAATGGCAGTAGCTGAAAAAAAGTGCACCTACCCAAACACCACTACCCTCTAGAATTACTAAAATCAAGACTGGAATAAATTAGTACAAGTGAAGAGCTGCAAAGTAGTCTGTGATCATTTTCTTTATTCTGAGTTCTCAAGGGTGAGAAGGGTGAATTCTAATCTAAAATAAAGCCTTAATCTCTAGACAGCAAAAGAGGAACTGGCTAGCCCATTTGCTACAGAGGCTAAAGATGCAAGAAACTATCTGAAAATATAGATTTCATGATAAAAGATAATGGGTTCAACCAGAAAGTCAGCTCCTGTTAAAAATGTGCATACGTGAACATTTAAGCTAGTGACATTTCTAGCCACTAGGGGTTAATGTCTACTCAACTAAAACCGTTGTTTCTACATTCCATCTTAGATAAGTATAAATGCTGGTAACGATTCCTTGAAAACCAAAACTATTACGTGGCAAATCAATCATGTTTTTAATACTAAAAGTGGTAAAAAAAAAAAAAATCATAACAAATTTATAAAGGATGCACAATAAAGCAACAACGACAACAAAAATCTAAAAACAAAATGTTCAGTATGCATCCACAAAAAGTTCCACAACCATAAAACAAACATCAATGCATCTTACCTCTATCATTATATGAAAGGCGTGCTTGTGAAGAAAAAACACAGGCAAAAGAAATTACGATTTATATCAAGAATGAAATGAAAAATGACACATCAGTTACAAAAGTGAAAGAAAGAGAATAATGATTTAGCTTTTTAAAATTGGCAATGATCCAATTTATCATATTTTTAAAATAAAAGTTGGGAACACTTTCCTTATAAACAGAGGAAAGTAATATCAAACAAACAAAAAACTTGGACATTACCTTTCAGATAAGGGGTATTATTATATACATGGTTCTGGTATGACCCCAAGTTACCTGATCCAATAAACTTCCGAGTCTTAAGTAATTGTTACGTGTTTTTCTAAGAAGTTTTAGAGTCTCAACTGGAAGAGTAAAATGAGCAATTTAATTGAGAAAATATCTTGGAATTGGCTTCTGGACACGAGAGGGCAGTATTGCCTTTAACAAAAACCAGGAGCAGCACAGGAGACATTTTTATGTAACTAGAAGTTGGTTCTCAGCCCACACTCTAACAGTTGTTTTACGAATCTCTAAAATCTATTTCCTGAACTGCTTCACTCCCTTTTCATGGAAGACAGTAGAATCATAATAGAAAAATGTTCCTGATGTCTTTGTGTGTGCAACATAAACAATATACTAGGGTAAGAAAATAAGACTGAGGAAAAAATTTTAAAAATGAGATTTAAGGAGAACACAGTG